CTTGCACCTTCCTGTACCTGCCCTCAGTACCTCTGCATCTGCTTGCCTGCGTCCTCTGTAACATCCTTTACAATAAATAGCCTTCACACTAGAACAGCCTTTAGAATAAACCCCGGGCTAGGGATCTAGCTCAGTGGTTCCACTGCCTGCCTTGCAAGCACAAGGACCTGAGTTCAATCCCCAGTACGAAAAAAAAAAAAAGTTGTCTAGAGTAAACCCTAAGCACTCCCCTGAGTTTCTGAGGTATTCTAGCAAATTAACAGAACCCAAAGAGAGGGTCCAGGGAATCTCGGTTACAGGCATTTGGTGAGTAGAGGTGGCAGCTCACTGCTGTGACTGGCACCCAAGTCCTAACCTGTGCAATAGCAGCAGAGTGGAAGGGAACTGTGGGCCCTGATGGCGTCTGCTGGGCTGTGGCTTGGTGAGCAGGAGAAGCCGCACACATCTGGGGTGGAAGTGAAGGCTTGTGCTGGGTGCAAGAGGAGCAACGCCAGTCTCTTTTCCTCCTCAAGAAGACGTCAATAGAAACTGTGTTAGGCTTCTCTGGCTCTAAGGGCTGGAAACCCTACTTGAACCATTTACGTAGGAAAAACTGGTTGATCTGAAGGCTGCCGGGGGAGCCTGGCTCCCAGAAGGGGCAGAGGAGCTTGGAGAACAAAGGAGGGCACCTCTGGGGGTGGCAGAGCCAGGCACAGCACGTGGCTGTGTGTGCACAGCACATCTCTCCGGCGATGGCTTCACTCTCCCAGGTTTCCTGCGAGGAGGGGCATGGCCGGAGGCTGCACTGTGTCCTGTTCTCCAGGGACCTGACCACATGTCCACAGAAAACCCCAGTGAAGGAGCAGCTCATCTGCTCGCACCTCGGCCAGGGGACAGGCAAGTGGGGGGGGAATTTCGAGGCCATTCATGGCAATATCTTTTATTGTAATCAATTATAACAAAAATCTAAACATTCCCCATATTTTTTTCTCATACCAAATATAAAGTAGGAAGGACAAAAGTAACTCATCTAAGCTAGACCGTACCTGGTTTATCTCAGGCTAATACCAAGAGTCAGGCACATTCCTGGTGCCAGGATCTGATCCCAAAGCCCCACCCACCGCCCTAATGGTTTTGTCTATTTATAGTGTGCTGGAAAACTGTGTGGGGAAAACCAGCCAGGGTTATTCAGGGGTAATCATGGCAGTCAGGGCTCAAGATGGCTCCAGTCATGATAAGCTGGAGCTGTAGGTTCCAAAAGGGAAAGCAGGGCTGAGAACACAAACATAACAGGCTCCACAGTGACACAATCCTGGAAGTCAGGCAACACACTTAGAAAGGAAAGGAAAGCAAAGCAGGAGGCTGTGTGTGTGTGTGTGTGTGTGTGTGTGTGTTGCTCAGAGGTACCCAGGTCTACATTAACCTCTCTGTACCCCATGTTGTTTATCTTGTCAAAGACATGTAAGAAGAGTGATTTTAAAAGCTGGGTGTGGTGGTGCATGCCTGTAATCTTAGCACTTGAGAGGCTGAGGCAGGAGGATGCTGTGAGTTTCAGACCAGGGCTAAATAGTAAGTTCAAGGCCAGTCTGAACCACATAGCAAGACCTTGTCTCAAAAAAAAGAAAGAAAGAAAAAAGATTGATTTTATTCAGCCTGTAGAACGTCAGTCTCCACAGGGTAGCTTTGGTTAGACCTGCATGGGAGGGTGGAAAGGTTACAGGTAGAGAAGCGGTGATGAGCCCATCTGGAAATGTCTCTGCCCGAGCCTGAGTGGTGTGCGGGTTGGGGTCAGACAGTTCTAATCTCAGCCAGTCGATCATGAGGCAACACAGGAGAAGGACCGAGAGGGCTATGCCTATCCTTGTCACAGGGAAACAAGGGCGCCACCTGAGTCTATGGGCTTTAAATCTTATCCAAGCCAAATTTTCCCTAAGCTGCTTTCTAGAGCACAGAGTGGGGATTTCAGAACACAAAGGTGGGGAGGATTTCTTAGCAGGGTGTTTCCCAGGAGCAGACTTCAGGTAAAGCACGGCACTGTCAACTGTGAGACACTGCACTACTGTCCATCCCATAGACTGTGGGGAGAATTAGAAGAATCTATGTGATCAACTTAGCACGGTGCTAGCAAGAGAAACCACCAACAGAGTGAAGAGACAGCCCTCAGCGTGGGATAAATTTTTGTTATCAGATATTTATCAGACAAAGGACTACTATCTAGAATATATAAAGAACTCAAAAAAATCAGACTCCCTCAAGTTTAAAAACCCAATCCAAAAATGGGCATCAGAAATGAACAGACACTTCTCAGATGAAGAAGTAGAAACGGCAAATAAATATATGAAAAAATATTCAACATCATGGGCCATCTGAGAAATGCAAATTAAAACAATGCTGTGATTCCATCTCACTCCAGAAAGAATGGCTATTACCAAGAAATCAGCCAATAACAAATGCTGATAGGGCTGGGAGGAAAAAGGAAACTTCTCCACTGTTGGTAGGAGTGCAGACTGGTGCAACCACTGTGGAAATCAGTGTGGAGATTCCTCAGAAAACTAAAACTAGAGGTTCCATATGACCCAGCTATTCCCCTTCTTGTTATCTTCCCTAAAGAATAAAAAGCATCATACCACAGTAATATCTGGACATACATGTTTATAGCGGCACAGAGTGTAATAGCCAAATCTTGGAAACAGCCCAAATGCCCATCAATCAACGAATGAATAAAGAAGATGTGCTTTTTTATTACAATGTAGTACTACTTTGCCATAAAGGATGAGCTTCAGACATTTCTAGGTAAATGGATGCACCTTGAGACCATTCTCCTAAGTGAAATAAATCGGACATACATGTTTAAATACTGCATTGTTGGGGCCAGGGATTTAGCTCAGTGGTTCTGGCACCTGCCCTGTAAGCGCAAGGACCTGAGTTTGATCCCTGGTAGGAAAAAAAACAAAACAAAACAGTATGATAAATACTTCATTGTTTCTCTGGTGTGAGAAACCAGAAATGGAAATAAAGACTAAAATGTTAGAACTGGCTTTTTTTTTTTTTTTTGGTACCAGGGATCGAACTCAGGACCTTGTGCTTTTGAGGCAGGCACCGGAACCACTGAGCTAAATCCCTGGCCCAAGACTAAAATGTATAATAGATATTGGGAAATGGGAAGAAAATGTTCAAACGGGAAGGGGAACAAGGGAGGAGGGAGCAAGAAAGGAAGGGAGGTACAAGAAAAAAAGAAAAATAGAAGGAAAAAAATAAATTTTCAATCCTTCTCTCTCAGCCTACCAGAGTGTTGGGATTACAGGTGTATACCACCACACCCAGCATGACTGGCTTCTAATCTTTTTTTTTTGGTATGGGGGATTGACCTCAGGACCTTGAGCTTGTGAGGCAGGTGGCGGCACCACTAAGCTAAAATCCCCGACCCAACTGTCTCCTTATCTTTAAAAACAAAAACAAAACAAAACAAAAAAACCCCAGCACAGTGCTGGGCACACAAGAAGCTGCCAACTTAGCAAATAAGAATACAAAACCACACAATGTCCTATATGCACAATAAATACAGCAGTATTTGGAAATACAGTCAGGCCTTAGTAGTCACTGGCTTCAGAACTTGTCAAACCTAGCACTCATTGCATTTTTGTTTTTTGTTTTGTTTTGTTTTTTGAGACAGGGTCTCACTATGTAATTCAGGCTGGCTTTGAACTTCTTATGGAAGGGCCAGGGATGTAGCTCAGTGGTCCCGCCGCCTGCCTTGCCAGTGCAAGGTCCTGAGTTTGATCCCCGGTACCAAAAAAACCAAAAACAATAATTGAACTTCTTATGGAGCCTAGGGTGGCCTCAAACTTGCAGCGACCTTCCTGCCTCAGCCTCCCATTATTTCTTACGGGAAAAATTCATTTGGTACTCTTGGGTTTTGACACTCGTCATGAGTTCTGGAGTTCTAATGGCAAGTACTGAGGTATGTCTGTACTTAGAAAAATTATTGGAAATTCAAATTTAACTGGATATTCTGTACAGTATTTTGTCTGGTAAGCCTGGCACACAGTTGTGCTTTTTTTTTTTTTTTTTGGTACCAGGGATTGAACTCGGGTCCTTATGCTCTCGAGGCAAGCAACGGAACCACTGAGCTAAATCCCCAGCCCCACAGTTGTGCTTTTAATACACGCTATTCTTATGGCTAGGAAATTTTATTCTCAGTTGGGTGTGGTGGTGCACGCCTGTGATCCCAGTACTTGGGAGGCTGAGGCAAGAGACTGCCATGAGTTCAAGGCCAGCCTAGACTGCAAATTGAGACCCTGCCTTAAAAAAAAAAAAAAGGAAATTTTATTCTCAAGCCATGTTACTAGAATGGGGGTTCCTTCCTGCCGGCCAGGGGCTGGGGAGATGGTAGCCCTCTTCCCTGGCTCCCACCTTCTCCAGGCCTCTGTCTCATCTCTGGCTCTGGCTATCTCCAACCTGTGGGTTGGGGCCCCCACCACAGAGCCGGTTTTCTGTCTAGGCCCAGCCACCTCTCCAGCCACCAGCCCAGAGTTGGGCCACAGCAGGTGCAGATCACTGCTGAACTTCAGATCAAACGCAAAAGGCACAGAGTAGGAAGATCCGAGCTCTAGTTTTATTTTGCTTTGTTATTTCTCGTGGTGCAGGCATGAAACCTGGGCCTTGTGCATACTCTGCAAGCGCTCTGCTACTGAGCTATATCCCCAACCTTCCTGGTTTGTTTTTAAAACCCCAAATTTCACATTAAAAAAAATATCTATAAAAGTTCTGGAGGTTGGCACAGTGGAGCAGATCCCGGGCTTCACTTCTGGTCCTCGGTGACCCCAGATCCCTCGGGTAAAATGGGAATAGACACGCCTGCTTTTCTTTCCACGAACAACACAACCCACTGTAATCTCACGGCCGGTTGTTTTTCTCGGTGAGACTATGGGTTCCCTGCGGCTAGGGGTTGAACCTGCTCCGGGTCACCCCCAGGGCCTGTTTGTGAAAATGAGCCAACGAATGACAGGAGACCGAAGGAGCGACACGTCAACCCCCAACCTAGCTTTCGGCGGTGAAGCCTCACTTCCGCCGCCGAGAAATTTGTAGGCCGCCGACCTTTCCTCCCAGTCTGCTCCGCGCCGGCCTGCCTTGCGATTGGCCGAACCGCCCAACGTGATGCCAGGCTGGCGGCGGCGGTTGCCCGGGTGACGGAGCGCGGACCCGCTGAGTGCTGTGTTGGCGGCGGAGCAGCAGGTAAGCGCTTCCTCCAGCGCTCTGGGCCTCCATCCCCTCCGCCGATCCCGCAGTCCCGGGCCGAGAGGAGCAATGGGGGGGGGGGGGGGCGGAGGGCGCAGGGCCGAGGCTCCGCTGACCCCTTGCCTCGAGGAAAACCCCGATGCGGATGCTCCTGCCTCTCCCCTGCAGTCCAGGGCTCTTACCCCGCAAGGGCCCGAGGTGGCCACCAGCACATCCCAAGAACAAGCCACTCTGCTTTCCGCAAGTTGTCCCTCATCTTTGCTGCGGTGGGCCAGCATTGGAGGGGACTCCCCTCCCCAAGTCCAGCGGGGAAGTGGCGGTGCGAGCGGAGGAGGCCAGGGGCTTTTAGGTTTCGCCTTCATTTTGTCAGTCAGCACCCCCAGACACCCAGGCTAAGTCTAGAACTTCACATAATCAAGCAGAAACGCGATGCTTGCTATTAGAATTGTCTTCCGTCCAAATCCCAGAGTCTTTACCTTATCCAACCGGCTTCCGGGCCCTAAATCTTGCAGGAATTGAGAAGCTTCGCGTCTGCAGGGGTTAGAGCCCAGATTCTCAGACTCCATTGCGGAGATGTCACGCAAGGAGCTTGTTTAAAAGGCAGATTTCTGGACATCTGGACACCTGGCCAGGCGCTCAGTGAGAATGGGCTGGAGTAGGAGTTTTCACTTGCACAAACTTCCCTGCTGGTTCTGACTGAGTTGGTCTAAATTTGGGGAATACTGTTCAATGGTTAGAATCAGCATGGATTTAAATTTTCACTTTTGTCACTTAGGAGCCGTGGGTGCGCCTGAATTGCTTCATCTGTAAAAGGAGAATGTAAATGACATTCACCTCTTGGGTTTACTACGAAGAGTAAATATGAGGCATTTTGCATGGGCCTTGGCATACAGTAAGCCTCCATAAACTATAGCTGTTAGGATAAACGATTTAGGAGAAAGTTCTATAATTGCTAAGAATGCCAGCATACTAAAACACCCACCGGCAGCTCACATTTACTTAGTGGATCTCTAGTCACAGATGACTTCTCTTAAGGAAGGGACATTTATTAAACACAGGGGTTGGCCAGGGAAGAAGACGGAGAAAGCTTTCCAGGCGAAGAGAATCATGTGTGCAAAGGCCCTGTGGCTGGAAGGAGTTTAAATTCTCAAAAACAACAAAGTGTTCTTATTTCCGGGCCTTCCAAAATGCCATCCCCTTGTTCTGCATTCATTTATTTGTCCGATGTCTTACTAAGTACTCTGCTAGGTGCTGTGGGTACAAAAGCTATATACAGATCTCAGCCTTTAGACGAAATTTAAATACTGCCCTCAGCCTTTGAAACACCGTACTAATTACAACCATAAAAGTAGAGGTAGGGTGCAGAGATGCCCTCAAGGAGAAGGAATTGCCTTGCCCAGGGTGTGGGGAGGGTTTCACGGGAGACTCCTGAAGGTCAAGTCTAGCCCGGGTTAGAATGGAGTTGAGTTTGCTCAGGACGCGGAATCAGGAAGAAGCAGGTTTTGAGGGAAGGGCCCGGGTTCACTGTATACAGGGCTGACTCAGGGGTATGGGGGCGACAGGGTCCCCAGCCCCTTTGAAGTTCATGCTGTTGGCACAACCATTTGCCACCTATCCTTGAGGCAGCACCTCGGGACAAATCTCCACCTGTCCCTCTCCACCTCCTCCTTTCCTTTTGGAGATTTCAACATCCTGGTCACTGCAGCATCTTCCTCCTCCTTACTCATGGGCATCGTTTCTTCCACTCTCCTCTGCCTTCCACCTCTGTGGTTGTGAGCTTTTGTTGTTTGTTTTGTTTTTGAGACAAGGTCTCACTATGTAGTTTAGACTAGGCTTGACCACATGGTGATCCTCCTGCCTCAGCCTCCTGGAGTGCTGGGATTACAGGCGTACACCATCACCCTGGTTCACCTCTGCCTTTTATACCTGGAGTCAGAACACCTGTCCCAGCTCCTGTCTCTTGTCTTCAGCACACTGTGGGGCTTGCGGCAAGATGCACATCGACTATGTCTGCCCCCCGCCTTCTACTCTCCCTGGGCTTCCTGCTGCCTCACCCAAGGCCTAAGCGGCTTGCTGCGCCCAGCACCCAGCTCCCTGAGCCCTGCTGCCGAGGCCTGTGCCTTCAGAGCCCACCTCTCACACTCAGTCTTTGCTCAGATGCCATTCCCCTCCAGCTCCACATGTCGGGGGACAGGATGGAGGCAGCCAGTGGCAGGGTTGGGAACACGCAGGGCCCGGAGGCCACACAGGGCCGGGGCCAGGCTGAGGGGAACGGATCAGGTGGCCCAGGTCTGGTATTGGGATGCCGGATGGAAGCGGAATGGAAGCGGGAGAGAGGGGTGGGCAGTGAGGCCGAGGAAGAGCTGGTGGGGATGGCGCTGTGCCACTCCCTGCACTGTGACATGAAGCCTGGCTACACAGCAGCCCGGAGGAGAGAGCTGTCCTGGCTCATGGCGTCAGGGTTCGTCAGGGTCAGTGGGCTGTGTTGTTGCAGAGGAGACAGACCAGGGTCCCACCACCCCCTCAGGGATCCCCTCAGTGATCCACCTTCTTGCCACCCCCAGAGGCTCCACCTATACTTGGGATTTGGGCTTTGACTGACCCAAGACCCAAACCACAACACTTAGGAAATTTAATCTTCCTGATCTGTGTACGGATAAAATAGAGTTGCAGAGTCATGCTTTTTGTCACTGTTATTTTTATTTTTTGAGGCAGTGTCTCACTATGTAGTTTAGGCTGGCTTTGAACTCACTGTGTCGCCCAGGCTGGCCTCACTCACCATGATCCTCCTGCCTCAGCCTCCTGAGTGCTGGGATTACAGGTGTGCACTGCCACACTTGGCTGGACTCACACTTTCTTAGCACTGCAGGCGCTCTGTGAGTCCTCCATTTTATCTTCCAGGTGAAACAGCCTCCCAATTGGGGTCATCCACCGGCAGAGAGCCCAGGGCCATCCTGTCCTCAGGTTGGGTCTGGGAGGCAGCCACAGGCACAGGTGCGGGAGGGGCGGAAAGGCGCCATGTCCCAGGCCTCCGTGCTGAACTCACACGGGCTTGGCGCCTCCACTCCATGCGCATTTACCTGCGGCTCAGATGTCAGCAGTGGGTCTGGCTGGGCTGGGCCCCAGGTGTTGCAGGATGGTTCCTCCCTGGTTTCCCGCCTCTCTGGGAGCCTCCTGCCTCCACCTCAAAGCCCACGTGGCCTGTGGCTCTCTGCCTCTCTCGTGACGTGGCGCCCGTCTCCCTTGTCCCCTGGGTACGGCCGGCCTGTTGTAGGGGTCCCCTTGTGCCATCAGAGTCCCCGTCCCCTGCCCTGTGGGATGGCTTAGGGGGTGACATCTCTGTTCTCCTTACAGGGAGTCGCTGTGGGACTCCGGGTGGCGTCACCATGGGCGACGTCCTGGCTCACGAGTCGGAGTTGCTGGGACTGGTAAAAGAGGTGGGTCCAGGGCCAGCGCAGGGCACCTGCGGGCCTTGCAGTATTCCTTTCCGTTACACCGACCTCTTTCTTTTCCATTCTGTCATTTTCCATGCGTTGAATTTTGCCTCAATAGTGTAACACGTGTTCCAGACGGAGGTGACCACGGGTGCTCTGCCTGACACTCGCTAGTGACACTGCCCATATTTGCGCAACTTCCTGTGTCCTGTTCTTTGTCACAGACACTGTTTCTAATTCCATTTCAAGTGACAGATTCTTAGGGGTGTACAGTACTAAGCTAAAGCCATCAGCCTGGCCTGCTCAGACTGTGGCACACAGTGTTTTCTTTTCTGTTAGCAATGATAGGCCACTTGCATCCTCCTTCTAGAACAACTGTTTTTTTCTTGAACATTTTTATGATGCTGTCTTTCTTGGCTTTTTGTTGGTTATTGCTTTGTTTTTTTGAGACAGGATCTTGCCACATACTTCAGGCTGTTCTCGAACTCACTGTGTAGCCCAGGCTGGCCTCAAACTTGCAGTGATCCTCCTGCCTCAGCCTCCCGAGTGCTGGGATTACAGGGGTGCGCCACCACACCTGGCTGTACCAAAAACAGTTCCATGGTGATGTTAGGACAAAGGGGTGCACATACATTTATGTTTTCTTTCTTTGGTTTTTTGCAGTACTGGGGACTGAACCCAGGGGTGCCCTACCACTGAGCCACATCCCAGCCCTTTTATTTTATTTTTTTCCCGTCCTGGGGATCAAACTCAGGACCTTGTGCTTGAGAGGCAGGCACAGTGCCACTGACCTAAATCCCTGGCTCAGCCCTTCTATTTTTTTATTTTGAGACAAAATCTCACTAAGTTGTCTTGGTGGGACTCGAATCTGTGATCCTCCTGCCTCAGCCTCCTCTGGCTGGGATCATGATGTTCCTTTTTAAAGCCTTGTTGAGGTATAACTGACAAAAATGTACATATTTGAGGTCCAGAGCTTAGGTTTTGCTACACACTGTGAAATGACCAGCACCATCAGGCTAATCCATACACCTGTGGCCTTACATACACACATTTACCTGTCGCTTTTTCCAGTGGCAACCTCAAGGTCTACTCTCTTAGCACGTGTTGGATACATGGTTCAGTTCTGTTACATGTTACATGTTCAGTCCCACATTGCAGGCAGTATTCATCTTGCAGGAGTGAAACTTTGTGCCTTTCGCCAGTATCTGCCCATTTTCCCAACCCCGGCAACCACCGTTCTGTCTCAACTTTTGTGAGTTTGACTGTTTGCATTTTTATATGAGTGAGAGCATACAAATCCCTGTACTCGGGAGGCTGAGGCAGGAGGATTGCTACAAATTTGAGGCCAGCCTGTGCTACATAGCAAAACCCTGTCTCAAAACAGAAAAACAAAAGTAAAATCATGCAGTATTTGCCTTTCTGCATCTGGCTTATTTAACTTAGCATTTGTCCTCCAGTTCAACCATGTTGCGACAGATGGCAGAATCTCCTAAGGCTGGGTAATACTCCGTTATATGTACATACCACATTATTGTTATCAGTATTATTATTATCACTTGTAGTGCTGAGGATTGAACCCACAGCCTTCACATTGAGCTACATCCCCACCCTTTTTAAAATTTTGTGTTTTGTGACAGTATCTTGCTAAGTTGCCCAGGCTGGGTTCAAACTTGCAGTCTTCCTGCCTCAGTTTTCCAGAGTGCTTGGATTGCAGCTGTGCGTCACCATGCCCAGCTGCACATTTTCTTTCTTCATTTGTCCATTGGAGTGGCTGTTGTGAATGAGGCTGCACTAGCATAGGACTGCAGATATCGCTCTGAAATACTGATTTTCATTCATTTCTATTGGTACCCAGCAGTGGGACTGCTGGATCATGGCTAGTTCCATTTTTAATTTCTTGAGGCCCCCCCAAAATAGTTTTCCATATTGGCTGTGCCAATCTACATTCCCACCTGTAGTGTACAAGGGGTCTCCTTTCTCTACTTCCTGCCAACAATTGTTACCTCTAATCTTTGAGATAACAGGCAATGATACTTCGTTGTGGTTTTGATTTACAGTTCTCTGAAAATTAGTGATACTGAGCACTTTATTTTGTTTATTATTTACTTATTTATATATTTTGGACACAGAGTCCTGTTATAAAACTCACTATGTAGCCTAGACTGGCCTTGAACTTGAGGCAACCCTCCTGCCTCAGCCTCCTGAGTGTTGGGGTTGCAGGTGTGCACCACACTGCCCAGTGTTGAGCCCTTTTGTGAGTCTTATTTGGAGAAATGTCCGTTCAGGGCCTTTGCACACTTATTAATTGGACTGTTTGTTTCTCCTGTTGTTTATGTCTTCTTTTACAGTATTTAGATTTTGCGGAATTTGAGGACACCTTGAAAACATTTTCAAAAGAATGCAAAATAAAAGGAAAACCGTTCAGTAAGACAGCAGGTGGCTGTTTAAGGGACCCCAGATCGCCAGCTGTCCAGGTAAGGTTTCCGAGTTTTGTCTGTGGATGAGAGGTAGCCCCGCCGGAAGCCGCAAGTCTCGGGTCCCCGCGGGTCACTTTAGACCGGCAGGTGTCGCTGGTGAGTTCAGGGCGCCCTCTGCAATCTGGGTCACGGCCATCTCCCCTCAGCCCCTGCTCCCCAGGGCCAGGCGTGGGGGCCCCGCTGCCTGGAACGGAGTCCCTGCCCGGCACTGTGCCCAGTTAGCAGTGTCAGTATCAGTAGTGCTGATACCACTGAGCCGCACAATTAAAAATGGTGACTGATGGTAAACTGGGCGTGGTGAACAGGCCTGGAATCCCAGCACTCTGGGAGGCTAAGGCAGGAGGATTGCAAACGCAAGTCCAGCCTGTAGGGACATAATGAGATTCTGTCTCAAATTTTTTTTAAAGAAAGGAGGGGGGGATAGGGATGTAGCCCGAAAAATAAAAATAAAAAAGAAAGACTATTCACATTGTGAGACAGAGCTCCAGAACTCACTCACCTTGCACACTGAAAGCTGTGTCTGTTGGACAGCTCCCCTCTCTCGCTCCCCCAGTCCTGAGCCTGCCTTTCTCTCACTTTCTGTGAGAGCATTTGAAGCCAGAGGCCCACACACGCCCCTGTGAGGCAGGTGCTCTACTACTTGGCCATGGTGTGAGGCCTTTTGTTGTTGTTTTCTAAGACAAAGTCTCACTGTTTTGCCCTGACTGGACTCAAACTTTGATCCTCCTGCCTCAGCCTCCGTAGTGGCTGGGATTACAGGCATGGGCCGCCACGCCGGGCACTCTATAAGTCAGGCTCTTGTGACTCTGTGACTTGCTTATTATACTCCATATAATGTCCTCAAGGTTCATTGGTGTTGTAGTATAGAACAAGACTCATGAGCTTTTTCACGGTTTTTTTGGGGGGGTACTGGGGATTGAACTCAGGTCCTTGCGCTTGCGCAGCAGGGGGCGAAACCACTGAGCTAAATCCCCGGCCCATTTTTCATGCTTTAATAATTTCTTGCTGTGGATGCCCACTGACCTCCCCTGGGGGGCACCGGGGCTGCTCCGCCTCCTGGCTATTGGAGATAATGCTGTGATAAACTACAGGAGGGATTGCAAAACACAATGAACGTTTAAATTTTTTTTTTTTTTTTTTGGTACCAGGGATCGAACTTGGATCCTTGCACTTGTGAGGCAGGCCGCAGAACCACTGAGCTAAATCCCCTGAGCTAAATTTTTAAAAATGACTTATTACAGTAAAAGACACAATGGTAAGAACAATGGGATAAGTGGGTTTGTAATAACGGGGAGTATTTTGAGGGAAACTAAAGGCAGTATGACTTTTACTACAATAAAGTTTTGCATTTTTAAATCATCTTTCATTGATCAAATGTTTATGGCGATTTCTGTCAAATAAAAACACAACGGTGCGTCTTCATCTACCTCATGCACCGGATTTGGCACCGTGTGACTGGCTCTTCCCCAAAATCAAAATGATCAGGAAAGGTCAACGTTTTGAATCAAGTCAGGACATGAAGGCAGCCACAGCAGCACAAGTAAAGACACTCATGAAAGAAGACTTCCTGAACTGCTTCAGGAAGTGGCAGGAACAATGGGATAAGTGTGTCTGAAGCAAGGGGCGAGTAGTGGCAGTGTGTCTCTTACTGTGAAAGACAAAACAAACCTCAACATCCCAGTTCATCTGTTTTTTGACCACACCTTATAGGTGTCTGAGTATCTCTTCAAGACCCCTTCAGTTTTCCCAGGCATACCCAGAAGTGGTTGTGCGGTACTTCCATTGTGGAGGAGTCTGTTTTGAGACAGGGTCTTGCTATGTAGTTGAGGCTGGCCTTGAACTCACTATGTAGCCCAGCTTGGCCTTGAACTCATGGTAGGGTAACCCTCCTGCTTCAGCCTCCTGAGTGCAGGCATTACAGACATGCACCACCATGCCTGGCAGGCAGTCACATCTTTAATTTGATGAGGAATTGCCAGACTGTTTTACAGAGTGGTTGTACCATTTAGCCCACCCCCCCCCACCCCGGCCCAGTGGTGCGGGAGGGTTCCTACTTCATCTATGTCTTTACCCATCTTGTTATTGTCTGTTTCGTTTTGGACAGTAACATCCCAAAGGATTTGAAGTGTGGTACCCTGTGGTTCTGATGTGCACTTCTCTGATGTTTTGGGGTCCATTTTTCTTTAATGTGAAGATTGTGACACTTTCTGGTGGTCACAGTTGTATCCTTTCTGCGCCTCCAGTCAGGAATTGTACCCACCACGACAGATTTCCCAGACAAAGCACAGTGTTTCAGCTAGGTGTGGTGCCGCACACCTGAGATCCCAGCACTCCGGAGGCTGAGGCGGGAGGATCACCTCAAGTTCGAGGCCAGCCTGGACTACATAGCGAGACCCCTGTCTCAAACACCCTCACCTCCCAGTTTTTTGCGAGTATTTCAGCAGGACATGCTCCATGCCAGTGGTCTCTAGTGAACACCATTGCCAGGCACAGGCTGAAGTGTGTGTGGCCAGTGGCCTTAGTGACTGTGGCTCTGACGTGGTGTACTGAGGATGCTTATGCCGTGATCACGCGGTGACAGCAGCTGGCTTCATGTGAGGGTGATCTCAACCCAGGGACCATTTCCACGCTCAGAGTATAAATGGCGAGCTGGTGCAGACGATGGGTGTGATGATGACACACAGCGGCTCATGGCCCCAGGACTACAAACAGAGCATAGACAAAGGCCACCGGCTCTGCTCCACGCTGCTCGTGGATCAGGGAGCACGTGGTCCCCACTGTCCCCCAGTGGCTCTCGGGGGCTGTGGGGGGCTTGGGGCAGAGCCAGGGCGGGGGTCCCCTTCACCCACTGTCCCTGTCACCAGGCTCCTCCGAGTCTCCCGGGGCAAGGGGGCAGCAGGGACAGTTGTCTGGGAGCATGTGACCCACGGTGACCTTGTCAGGCACCTGAGATGCCCTTCCGCATCAGTGCCTTCACCTTCAGCGTAACCAGGTGGTGCAGGGTTATAACCTATAACCTAACAGGTAACAGTCATGCAGAAAGATTACCTGTGAGGTCATTTTTTAAAATGTAGCAAACAAGGGCCGGGGATGTAGCTCAGCAGCGGAGCCTGCCTGGCAATCACAAGGTCCTGAGTTCGATTCCCGATACTAAAAAAATAAAATACAGCAAACAGCGGCCAAATAACGGTGCTAGGCGCGGCTCTCAGCGTCTGCAGCGCAGTGCAGAGTCGGGGTACGGCCCTCGGCATCTGCTGCAGAGAGGAAGGCGCGGTTCGCGTCCGACTCCTCGGTGCTGCCTTCTCCCGCACCCATAGCTGCGCGCGCGTGGCCTCGCGTCACTGTCCTGTCGTCCCAGCCCCTCCTGTCGCGGGCGTCCCAAGCAGGCTGAGGAGGTGGCCTGTTCCTGTCACCGCGCTGTGACCCCTGCTCCGTGGCCCCCTCGGAGGGCTCGGGGCCTCCGGGAAGGGCCGGGAACCGGAGTGTGGGCAGCAGGCCCAGCCACGGACCGCAGGCCCCGAGCCCCGTTCCCGGGGTAGGGGTTTAGGGTGCGGGGAGAAGCGGCCTCCTTCCCACTGGTTCGCGCCTGTGTCCCGCAGCAGGAGCTCCTGGCCGCCTTCGAGGGCGGGGACCAGAAGGTGTTCTTCCGCCTGTGGGAGGAGCACGTCCCCGGCGCCGTCAGGGACGAGGACGCCCTGGTACAGAAGCTGGAGTTCTACCTGCACATCCACTTCGCCATCCACCCGCTCAAGCGCGGCGCCGGCCGGCCGGTACGTCGGGTGGGTCAGCCGCCTCTCTGTCGCTTTGAGATGGAACTCACTATGTAGCCCACGCTGGCCTCCAACTCATGGCAACCCTCCTGCCTCAGCCTCCCAAGTGCAGGGATCACAGGCGTGCATCGCCACGCCCATCTTATTTTCTAATGTATATGGAGGTTTCATAACTTATGTGATCAAAGCTACATTATTTTCCTAAATACCTCAAATCTTTGAAAACCCATGAAAATGAAGTTTGCTCGGTAACTTCGCTGTACAGACACATGTCTAAGAACATCCGCTCTGGCCCGTGTCAGAACCTGCACTTAGCATCAGTGGAGAAATAGTATCTTGTAGAGTCGGTGACCAGTGGCTGGGGCTGGAGACGGAATAGGGAGAGGGCTGGGGCGTCAGGCTCCAGGAGCGAGGAGGTGCTGCCCCAGGACCTCTGGGCATGGATCAGAGTGTGGGGCCCCCAGAGGAGGCGACAGCGGCCAGAGAAGCAGCATCGCAGTACCTGGCAGTAGCCATTCTTAGAAGGCTGGTCCTCAAGATATTTTATCTCCTGGGGAAGTCACAGGAAGTTTTCTTTATTTATTTTGTAATGCAGGGGATTAAACCCAGGGCTTCACACGTGCTTGGCAAGCACTCTACCACCAAACTATATAACCAGCGCTGAAAAATTATTTTTCCACTGGGGATTGAGCTCAGTGGTTCTGGTGCCTGCCTCGCAAGCGCAAGGTCCCGAGTTCGATTCTCGGTACCCCCCCCCCAAAAATTATTTTTCCAAAAGTGTCTCATTAAGTTGTCCAAGCTGGCCTTGAACTTGGAGATCCTCCTGCATCAGGCTTCTGAGTAGCTGGGATTGCAGGCTTGCATCAACACACTTGACCATTTTTTGTTTTTGTTTTTTAATTTCTCTGTTTCTATGTAAGATAAAAATCGGTCAGCATTGTGTATTTATTTATTTATTTGTTTGTTTGTTTGTTTATATTTTAAAATTTTTTAGTACCAGGGATCAAACTCAGGACCTTGTGCAGGCGCGGTGCCACTGGGCTTCCCGGGCCCATTATCTGTTTTTTATTTTTTTATTTTTTTGGTACCGGGGGATCGAACTCAGATCCTTCCACTTGCGAGGCAGGCTGCAGAACCACTGAGCTAAATCCCCGGCCCAATTTTCGGTTTTTTAAATCCAGCAACCAGGAGAGGTCCTCATGGCCTAGGTCTATGGAGATCTCCTGAGGAGAGCAGGTCAGGGTGCATGGGAGTAGTTCTGTGAGAAACTGCAAAAGTCATTTGTTCCTGGGAGGCTGAGGCAGGAGGACCGCTGTGAGTTTGAGGCCAGCCTGGGCTACACAGTGAGACCCTATCTCGAAAACCCCCCAAATTTACCTGTTCACACCAGAACTGGGCTGTCGGGGAGGAAAGCGGCACCTCCAGCTCCTCCTCATCCCACCACAGCCCAAGAGAGCAGGGAAGAGAAGCGGAGCAAGCTGTGTCCTCAGCTTCAGGGAGAAAAGCGGCAGGGACAGGGATGCGTCTGCCCCCTGGCAGCCCTGTGAGGGTCCTGGAGCACAGATGTTGCCGTGGCCGGGTCTGGGTGAGTGGGCCACGTGGAGGTCGGGAGACAGGAGCTGTCCCGTCAGTGACGTTTCAAGGACACGAGGAAGTGGGAGTTCGACACCCTCGGGACATCTTACTGGGCGACTCTGAGGTGGCAGCATTGTGCCCACCAGGCCACTGGGGGCCGATGCCATCATCAGGGCTGGCACCCAGGACCCTGCAAGGACCCAGGGCCCTCAGACCCGAGTCTTCTTCCTGCAGGACAAGCGGGAGCTGGACGAGAGGATTTCGTACTTCAGATCCTTCCTGGAGACCAGAGGGACAGCACTGAGCCAGACCACCGAGTTCCTGCCCTTCTACGCCCTCCCCTTCGTGCCCGACCCCCGGGCACACCCCTCCTTTAAGGAGCTCTTCCAGGTAGGTGACAGCTGTGCATAGGGGACATCATGGGGTCTGGCTGCTGCTTCAGAGCCCTGAAACCTATTGTCATTGTTGTTGTTTACTTTTGAGACAGGATCTCACTATAGTTCAGGCTGGCCTTGAACTCACTATGGAGCCCTGGCTGGCCTGGAACTCATGGTGATCCTCCTGCCTCAGCCTCCTGAGGGCTAAGATTACCCATGTGCTCCGCCCTGCCCAGCCTCATTATTATTTTGACTGTAGCCCTAATTTATTTAGTCTGTCTCCTGTTAGATGGTCAAGTAGTGTTGGGTTACTTTTTCTGGCCGTCCTGTACTAGCTGGGATATGCGTTCTTGTTCATGTAAACCCGCCAGAGACAGAATATTCACACAGCAACACTGCGATGGAAAGGCTGCAAGCAACCCAGGTATATATCACTAAGAAGTGCATAAATAAATGTCACTGGCATGAACGGAGCAGTGTACGTACACCTCTGAGAGTGAATAAACTGAGCCACAAGTGAACGAATTGTAAGTCAGATGCAAAAGGCACTGTGCTGTGGGATTCCCTTTCTAAACACACACGAGGAGCTTTTCTGAGTACCAACACCCGTGTTGGCATAGATTTACAAGCCGGGCTCGGTGCACAGCCCTGTAACCCCAGCTGCTTGGGAAGCGGAGATGAAACCATAAGTTCAAGGCCAGCCTGGGCAACTTAGTGAGACTCTGTCTCAAAATAAAAGTGCAAAATACAAAGGGCTGGGGATGGAGCTCAGGGGTAAAGTGCTTGCCTAGCATGAGAGAGGCCCTGAGCTCCATGGCCAGTGCTACAACAAAACAAAACAAAAACAATCCACTTCAATAGAAAGCAAGTATTCTGATTGGCAATTTAAAAAACAGTTTTAAACATGATACAATATGATGAACTTTCGGGATGTACAGTTCTGTGAATTTTACCACATGGGTTAATTCACGTAACCAAGACAGCACGAGTGGGATACAGTTTTTGCTTTAATTACCCTCAAGAACTGCCTCTGTTGCCCTTTCTGCCACCCTGGTCCCCACTCCTGGCCACCTCTCTTCCATTTGTTTGAAAAGAGTGTTCGAGCCGGATGTGGTGGCGCACACCTGTGATCCCAGCACTCTGGGAGGCTGAGGCAGGAGGATGGCAAGTTGGAGCCCAGCCCGGGCAATTTAGTGACTTCATGAGGACTCATCTCAAAAAAACAACAACAAAATAAAAAGGAGTGTGAAGGCCTTGGGCTCAATCCCTGGTACCAAAAGACATTCAGGTAATTTGCCTTAACAGACTTTTCTTGTGCCATAAAATGCAATATTTTGGGTCACACTAAGGCCTTCTAACCCCGACTGACACAGATCACGTCCTTGCTCCCGGCGGCCCTCAGGAAGCCAGCAGCCTTGGGCACCTGTCTCTGTCCTCGGCCTCAGGGACTGTACCTTTCCCCTGGTCAGGGAGAGTCCTGTTTTCACTCAGGGCTTACAGGGCTTCCAAGATGTGATGTTTTGTTCCTTTTGGCAACTCTGGAAAAGGCTCAGTTTGTGTCTCTTCCTCCGTTACCTTTCCTGTCCTCTGTCCCCCAGTCCGGGTATCTGGTCACAGGTACATCCGACTTCTCATTATACCGCCATATTATTTTTTCATTTTTTAAAAATTGTGGTAAAAGTACGCATAACCAAATTTATCTTTCTGAACATTTTAAGTGTGTTTCAATAATACGTTGTGTGTCCTCGTTGTTGACCTTCCTCTTCTTTTAACAGCTAGTATTTTCCATTTCTTCTTGATCTTTCTGGGCACTTGGTTCACCTCTGTCTTGAGTTCACACATTCACCTGCTGGCTATGTCTAATCTCTCTCACCTTCTCATTGAATTTGTAATTTCAGTTATGAGTTTTTAAAAATTCTTTTATTGGTACATTTTAGGTATACAATATGTTTACATTCATCATTGGGTGCTTGTAGCTGTACATGATGTATCTTGGTTCTTATTTTTTCTCCATTACCTGTGCACCCTTCCCTATTTACAAAGACTTCGTTTCTATTTTTTTCTTTTCTCATAATTTTTCCTTTTCCTTCTTTCCTTTCCCCTTCCCCTACCCCTTTAGACCTTTTCTTCCTATTTCAAATTATCAGTTATTCGTTTTAATCATTTTAATCCTTATTTACACTTTCAGTTTCTCACACTAGAGAAACTATTCAGTATTTACACGTGTGTCCTATTTATTTCACTTAAGAGTATGGCCTCAATATGCATCCATTTAGCTATAAATGTCTCTAGTTTCTCGTTCTTTATGGCTGAGTCATACTCCATTTTATAAAAAAAAACCCCACATTTTCTTTTTCCAGTCTCCAGTTGATGGGCATTTGGGTTGTTTCCAAACTTTAGCTATTACAAACTTTGCTGCTATGAACATGGATGCACATATATCGCTGTGGTATGATTCTTTTAATTCTCTGGGGAAGATACCCAGCAGGGGAATAGCTGGGCCAAATGGGACCTCTAGCCCTAGTTTTTTGAGATATCTCCATACTGATTTCCACAGTGGTTGCACCAGTCTGCACTCCCACCAGCAGTGGAGAAGGGTTCCTTTCTCCCCACAACCCCGCCAGCATTTGTTATTGGTTGATTTCTTGATAGCAGCCATTTTTTCTGGGGTGAGGTGAAATTTCAGTGTTGTTTTCATCTGCATCTCTTGAATTGACCAGTGATGTTGAACATTTTTTCATATATTTGTTTGCTGCTTTTACTTCCTTGTCTGAGAAATGTCTGTTCATTTCAGATGCCCATTTTTGAATTGGGTCTTTGAATTTGGGGGGTCTGATTTTTTTCAATTCTTTATATATTCTAGATAGTAGAGCTTTGTCTAAGGTACAGCTGCTAAAAAACTTTTCCCACATTGTAGATTGTCTCTTAGCTCTGTTGGTAGTTTCTCTTGCAGTGTAGAAGCTTTTTAATAAGATGAGATCCCAGTTGTTGATTCTTTGTGCTAGTTCCTATGCTACTGAGGTTTTATTCATAAAGTCTTTTCCTATGCCAATGTCTTTAAGAGTTCTATCTAACTTATCTTCCAGCAAGTTTAGTGTTTCTGTCTTAATATTTAGATCTTTAATCCACTTCGATCTTAGTTTAGTGCATGGTGATAGGTATGGGTCTAGTTTTAATCTTTGGCAGAGATCCAGTTTTTCCAACACCATTTATTAAATAGGCTATCTTTCCTCCAATGATGGTGGTTGGCTCCTTTGTCAAAGATGAGGTGGCTGAGTATATCTGGAGTTGTTTCTGCATCTTCTAATCTAGTCCACTGATTCTTGGGTCAGTTTCTTTGCCAGTACCATGCTGTTTTTATCACAGTAGCTTCGTAGTTTAGTTTCAAGTTGAGGATTGTGATACCCTCAGCCAGTTATGAACTTTTTTAATGGAAGTTCTTTCTGGCTATATTCACATTTGCTGGGTCATGTTTATATTCTCTGATCCTTTGTTCTCTAATTTCTTTTACATATTAAACATTTATTTTGTGTTCTCAGTTCATTTCAGTATCAGAAGCTTTTGCAGATTTGATGATTCCCTTTGTTTTTTCATTTGTTCCCTTGCTTTGTTTTCAGTCTTGAGAGTGAGTTTCTTTTTCCTAGGACTGGAGGGATTTCTCTGAAGCCTGGTCCACTTTGGTTTTCTTGGGAGAGATTTGCATTTGACTCAGGACTGTTTGAAATTAAATGAATTTCTAGCGGTTTGGGGGCCATACAGATAGTATGAGTCTTTCATGGCTGTTGTCTTTCGTGGGACTGAGTGCACCATGAAGCTTCACACAGGTGGGGACAAGTATGTTTCCCATGGGCCCTTCTGTGGTGGCTTCTTTGCCTATCTCCTGTCCTGAGCGGCAGCCCTTGGCCCTGGGCGCACCCTGGGGCTCCTGGTGGTGCCGCTGTGGCAGCTCCTGTTGTCCACCTTCCCCGCCCAGCAGCTTCAGCACCGCAGATCAAGGTCCCTGAGGACTTGCAGCTCCCTTAGGGCAGAGTCTCTGATGCACCTTGGTCCTAGGATTCCTGCTTTGGCTTCACTCTGGGCCTCCACAGCTCCTTCCTGTCACTCAGGGGTGTGCTTTAAAATTGGCCTCTCGGGTCGGGGATTTAGCTTAGTGGTTTCACCACCTGCTGCACAAGCGCAAGGACCTGAGTTTGATCCCTGGTACCAAAATAAATAAATTAATTAATTAAATTAAATTAAATTAAATTAAATTAAATTGCCTTCTCAGCCAGGTCTTTTCATTGTTTTCACTGCTTTTTCAGACTGTCTGTCCTGCAATGTTGACAGAAAAGGAAACTTGTCGTCAAGTGTCATAGTTACTTTCTCATTGCTGAGACATGATACCCAACACCCACAAGTTAAAGGAGGAGAGGTTTCTTTCGGCTCACAGTTTGTTCAGGTTTCAGTTCGTAGCTGGCTGGCTCCAAGGCAGGGCAGCAGGGCAGAGGGGAAAGAGTTCACGGATAAGCAGCAGGAAGCATGAGGGATCAAGGGAAGAGGAGGGCGATGGACCCTTGCAGGCCACACCCCCAGTGGCCACACCCCCAGTGGCCACACCCCCAGTGACCAGTCCTCTACCAGGGTCCACTTCCCAACATCACATTTGGCTATAAATTTGTCAGCGGACTAATCCACAGATGAGAATCACATCCCCGTGATCCACTCACCTCCCCAAAGCCCCACCTGTGAGCACACGAGGGATTACAGTAAGTGCTTTTCTGCAGGCTCAGTGTATCAGTGGGTGGCCTTTTGCAGAGAGGCTGCAGAAATAACAGGGACTTCTGTAACTGATGACATCACAAAACCCTTGTGAGCACCTGGGCTGTTCCACAGCCTGAGTCAGGCTTAAGCAGAGCAGCTGGAGGGAGAAGAAGGGACCCTTGGGCTCTGTGAGGGAGAGAAGGCCACAGGTAAAGATGGCTGTGAGGAGCCAGTAATAGTTTTGTTGTTGGTGGTAGTTTATTTATTTCTTTGATGGTGCTTGGGGATTGAACCCAGGGCCTTCGTATTGAACTATATCCCCATACCTTTTAAAAAATTTTTATTTCGAGACAGGGTCTGGCTAAGGTGACCAGGCTAGGCTCAACTTGGGATCCTCCTGCCTCAGCCTCCCAGAGTGCTGGGATTCCAGGGGTGTGCCACCACACCTAGCTCCGTTTGTTTTCAAGATTTCTTGATTTGTGTTGGCCAGCACCACAGCCCCCTGCTAAAGTTCTTTCCAGATGGCCAAGTGCAGAGAGCCCTGAGCTGATGGATGTGGTGGTGCTTTCCCAGCTCTGCCCTAACAAGGACCTAGGGAAGCTGGTAGAGAAATAGCACAAGTCTGCTGTCTCACAGTTCGGGAGGCCAGACATCTGTAGTCAGGTGTGGGCTGGCCACGGCCCTCCAAAGGCCAAGACTAAGTCCTTCCTGTCCTCTCCCAGCTATGCTCAGCTGTGGCCTCTTCACTCCCGTCTCTGCCTCCGTCTCCCCACGGCCACTCCCTGTGTGTCGCTGTCTGCACTCCCTTCCTGGAGGTCCAGCAGCCTCGTGGAGACCTCATCTTACCCATGCTTACCTCTACCACCACCCTACCCAGTGGCCTCGGGATCTGAGGGTTCAGGATGTCATTTTGACCCCCGACAACACACACTGTGGACAGAATTCCCAGCCAGTGCCAGGGAATTAAAAATCTTTTACAAAACCTGGAATTTCTGCTGCTCCAGCAGATGACACCTGGGACAGATTGGGTGGGGTGGGAGGAGGGTCCAGACCACAGGGAGGGGGATCTGGGGGCAGAGCCAAGGCAGCAGCCGTATGAAACTTTAGTACATTGTTGCTTTGGGGTGGAAATTCTTGGGTTGGGTGGAAGCCTTTTTTTTTTTTTTTTTGTACCAGGTATCGAACTCAGGTCCTTGGGCTTGCAAGGCCGGAGGTGGAGCCACTGATCTAAATCCTCGGCCCGTGGAAGACTTTTTTTTTTGGTACCGGAGATCGAACTCAGGTCTTTGCGCTTGTGAGGCAGGCGACAGAACCACTGAGCTAAATCCCCGGCCCGTGGAAGAATTTTTAATATAATGCTGGGGACCGAAATGAGGGCCTGCAGCCAAGCTACATCCCCAGCCCTATACTTATTTTTCATTGTGAGGCAGGGTTTTACTGAGTCACTAAATCACCCAGGATGGCCCTGAACTTGCGGTCCTCCTGCCTCAGCCTCCCGAGTGCTAGGATTACTGTGCTTGTGTTTAAATAACATGAAGGGTTCTGATTGTGTACAGTTATCTTCCCTGCTGTGGCAGTCAAATCGTCTCAATGCTTCCATTTGTCCTGTGTCCCCATGCCTGCTTGGTCACTGTCACACTGCTGGCCAGACAGCTGGCTTTCGGCTTCTGTAACTGCCAGGGCTGTTTGACAAACCAAAGAGTGTTCTTATCTTGTGTTCCTTTATTTCTTTTCACTTCAGGATTCCTGGACTCCAGAGTTAAAGTTGAAGCTCGAGAAGTTTCTAGCACTAATTTTTAAAGCCAGTAACACACCCAAGCTTTTAACAATCTATGTATCCTTTTGTTTTGTTTTGGTACCGGGGATGGAACTTGGGACCTTGTGCATGTGCGGCAGGGGCCAGAACCACTAAGCTAAATCCCCGGCCCTATCAATCTATGTATCCTTTTGACACGAATGAGACCAGCTGGGGTTAGAGCAGCCTGGGACTCAGGGCGCCCCAGGGCGGGGGACGGCAGACAGGACGACACAGGGTAGAGTTGTGCTGCTGTCACCAGAATCCAGCTCCCGTGGGCACCTCTGAGTACAAAGGGGACAGAAGGACATTCAGTCGCCCACCCATGGTGACAGATTTCCCAAAGTGGTTAGTCTGTAAGGACACGTCGCTCATTTGGAACAAGCAGGCGTCCAAAATTATTTCACACCAAGCCAGGCATATTGGCACATGCCTGCAATCCCAGCATTCTCGGAGGCTGAGGCAGGAGGATTTCAAGTTCAAGACCAACCCAGGCAACTTAGCAAGGCCCTGTTTCCAGGTACAAAATAGAGCCAGGGGTTTTGCTCAGCGTGAAGGCCCTGGGTTCAATCCCCAGTACCCAAACAAGCAGAAAAACTGAAGTTATTTCAAACCAAGGATATAATGTTTTGAATTATGAAGTGGGTTCTTGTCTCGTTGACCTGAATGACAAATGTCAGCTATTTTATCGCAGAAGACCCACTGCCATCCCAACGAGAAGCATTTGAGTCCCTTTCCCAACGGAGCCGCTCCGATTGGCACCCTCGGCCCCAGGCTCTGCCGTCCTCTCAGCTCTCAGGCCTGACGCTGTCCCCGAGTCCCAGCCACACTGCTTTCCGCTGTGGAGCCCCGGGGCTGCGGTCAGAGGTGGCCCTGGCCCTGAGGCCACAGCTTCCCTCCCCTCAGATCCCTCCCTTCTCAGCCCTCCATATCAAGCAACGACCTGAGGTGAAACAAGGAGCACTTTTATAATTGGCTTGTAGTTATTTTAGTACTCTTTTAAAAAGCATTTCTCAGCTTCAAACTTATAGGCATTAATATGTTAAGAATCTAAATTAAATTTGTTTTTTGAGACAAGTTCTCGCTATGTAGCCCAGGCTGGCCTCGAACTCATGGTGATCCTTCTGCCTCAGCCTCCTGAGTGCTGGGATCACAGGTGTGTGCCACCACTCCCGCCTTCTAGATGAAATTCTTCATCCAGTAAACTGTATTAGTGATATTAATAATATATTAATTTAATAATAGTACCCACTTCATAGAAAGTTTGAGGATCCAGTTAATAGGTTCAGCTGGTTCAGACAGCCCCGCACCTGGTAAGCACTGGGTAGCTGGGCCATCAGGCTGGTTTTGGGCACTTGTCGCCTGTCGCCCGCGTGTGTGCTCAGCATGCTTTGGAGCAGACTCTGAATGTAGTAGCAACCGTGTGCTCAGTTCCTTTGTTTTCCTTGTTTCGCGGAAGGAAGTATTGGCAGTGAGGTGCTACACATCAGGTTTCTGCCCTGGATGGATACAAAGAAGAGACCAAGGCAGTCTCGTAGTCGGGATTTTGAATGACAGTATGGAAATCTGAAACAGACAGGGTGAGGGACAGGAATCCCGGGTGGGGAGCAGCCTGTTCGAGGCCCTGGCCCAGTGTCTGGGACCGGAAGGCCGGGCAGAGAGGAAATCGGAGACGGGCAGGGCCAGGTCAGGGTGGTTTGGGTGAAGTCCTGTAAAGCAGGAGGAGCCTCAGAAGCATTTGAGGAAGGTGGATAACGTCCTTGTGTTTACTCAAAAAATTTACTTTTCAAGGCTGGGGATTTAGCTCAGTGGTGCTGCAGCCTGCCTCGAAAGCAGGTCCCGAGTTCGATTCCCCACTACCAAAAAAAGAAAACAAAAATATTTACTTTTGAAATCTTGATTAGAAAGTTGATCATTTCTTATAAAAAATTTGGAAAGCAATTTGTTTATATACTGAAGTAAACAATGTTTATAGTAAACACAGACTCCTGAATGTGTGGGTATTTTTACATATTTTAAACAAATGATGAGAACATTTCTTCATATCATTAGCCTTCAAAAAACAGGTTAATGCCAGGTAATGGAGACACACGTGTCATCCTGGCACCCTGGAGGCTGAAGCAGGAGGATGGCTGAGTTCGAGGCTAGCCTGAGCTACATCATGAGACAGTCTCAAACAAACAAACAAAAAAGCCAGGTTGAGCTACCTCAGAGGATACCTTACCATACTACCCAGCAACTCCACACCTCACTGTGTGTCCAGGAGAAATGAAAACCTTTGTCCACACTGCACCTTGCAGCGTTATCCCTAATAGGCAAAGAGCACAAAGAACCCCCATGTCTGTGAGCTGATGCCTGCATGGACCAAATGAGGTCTGTTCATGCAGTGAGATTTGATTCAGCACAGAAGGAAGGGGACCACTACTCACAGTGTAGATGAACCTTGGAAACAGGCTGAGTGAGAGAAGCCAGACGCTGAAGCCACGCATCGCACAGTGGTCTTGATGTGAAAGAGTCACAGGAGGCAAAGCTGCAACAAAGTGCACTCATGGACAGGCGACAGGAGAGGGGCTGGCAGGCAGAGGGTTTCCTTGAGGGGTGATGCGAAGGTTCCAAGCTTGGTTGTAGGGCTGGGATGTGGCTCGGTGGCCTCGCACTTGCCTTGCACATGAGAGGCCCTGAGTTCTAGTCTCAGGGCCACAGAATGAAAGAAAAAACCAACTCTGAAAATATGCTAAAAACCATTGAAATGTACTTTAAATAAGTAACTTACACAGTATATGAATAAAGCTGTTACCAAAATAATTAAGAAAAATTTAAGGCTGGGGATTTAGCTCAGTGGTTTCGCCGCCTGCTGTGCAAGTGCAAAGAGCCGAGTTCGATTCCCAGTACCAGAAAAGAAAAATTTAAGATGAAATTAGCCAGGCGTGGTGGCACACACCTGTGATCCCAGCAATCGGGAGGTTGAGGCAGGAGGATTGCCACAAGTTTGAGGGCAGCCTGGGCTACATATTGAGTACAGGGCCAGCCTGAAATACAGAGCGAGACCGTATCTAACCTCCTCCCAAAAAATTCAGATGATTTTAGGTGGGGGGAAACCCCATTTGAAATAACTTGCCTTCAGTCATGCAACCAGACATGTAGGGGCTGGGATTCGAACCTGGGCAGTACAGCTCCAGGTCTGTGGCCTTAGCCACTGTACTCATCCAAATCTCAGCGTCTCTGGGATAAAGCTGTGGACTTAAATTTACAGTGCTGCGGTGTCTTAGTTACTTTCTTCTTACTGGGACTAAATACCCAACACCCACAATTTAAATTTTATTTTAGCTCACAGTTTGTAGAGATTGCAGTTCATAGTTGGCTGGCTCCAAGGCAGGGTGGCATGGCAGAGGAGAAACAGTCCATGGAGCGGCAAACAGGAAGCTGCAAAACTTTCTCCTTTTCCTTTTCATCCTGTCCAGACTACAAGCCTGCTGGTTGGTGCCACTCACATCTGGGCTGGGTCTTCCCTCTTCAGTAACTCCATCACCCACACCCAGAACCATGCTAAACCTATCCCTGGGCTGATCCAGCATCACACACCCATGATCTAGTCGCCCCCAAAGCCCCATCTGTGAGTGCATGGGGCTTCGGGGGGACATCAGGGTACAAGGCAGAGATATGAGGTCTGGATTCACGTTTGGCTTGAGCACGTTGGGGCAGCAGTGGCAGGGCCACTGGAAGGGGCAGGAAGGCCAGGCAGGAGGCTGTGGGGATGGTTTGAGACTGCTGGGATGGAGAGAAGGGTTTGTTGGGCTCCTTGCTGTCTCAGGAGCAGTGCTGGGACCTGCCCTTCACTATCCTGAGAATCCTGCTAGCGGGCTGAGTCCTTTTCAGATTGGGCACAGTGTTGACACCCCGAGCATTGTGTGCCGAATGCCTGTTTTCCTGAACTTCTTTCTCATCCCAGAAGGAGAATGGACGACACAACAAAGGTAAATCATGGAAGAAACACTTTCTAAGGACAACTTTGCTGGCTTGGCTCGAGTTTTAAACTGGGAGGTGGGGGCAGAAATGGAGAGAATCTGTGGCTTTAGCAAATGAGGCTTTCACAAGCCTAAATGTGCACAGTGCCTCGGGGCCCACTTTTCCAGAGGGCTGTAGTGTGAGCTCCTCTTGTATGTGAAGTAACCAAGGTGAGGAGAGGTATGCAGGGTCCAGGGAATGTTGTAGAGGAAGCCACTGCCATGCTCCATAGGAAGCAGGGCAGTGTAGGTGAGAAAAGAATTATTCATACTCGCAGCAATCCTCCTGCCTCAGCTTCCTGAGTGCTGGTATTACAGGTGTGCACCACCACGCTCCACATCATTCTACGTTTTGAGAACCGCTTAAGTTCCTGTGTTGGAAAGGGTGTGTGATGTGCTTCATGCCTTTAGTAGGTCTATCCTCCTCTCCCAGCAGGGGGAGTTTCGCTACATGAAATTCCTGGGCTGAGAAATATCATATTTCCCCTTTTGGAAGAAGAGTAATGTCAGGGAAGACTTTAAAACTTCCTGCCATTGCTTTTTTGGACTTTTCAGGAAGTTCATCTTTTGTAAAGAAAGGAAATATGTGTAGGTTATTTAACTCTCTGTTTACAGATGGGTAGTATTCTCAGCTTTGTCCTGTGAGGCAGGTGGGATGGTGTCAGACAGGAAGGCCGGGATGTTTGTTTCATCTTAGTCGCCTCAGGTGCCACTCATCTTTCTGTCACCAAAGTGAAGTGCCTGAGGCCCACTAACTTGGAAAGAGAAAGGTTTATTTGGCTCTCAGTTCTGGAGATTCCAGCAAGACATGGGCGCAGCCTGGGTCCCCACCTCCCACCCTGGGGACCAAGCCTCCAACACTTGCACCTTGGGGACACTCACCCGACCACAGCGTTTTGTCCCCGGCCACCAAAGGTTTGCATCCATGTCACAGTGAAAACGCTCTCACTCTGTCCCTGGGAGTCCCCAGAGCTGCTCTAAGGCCGAGGCCGAGCCTCAGGCGAGACTCAAGGCCGGCTGAGCTGCGAGCCCTAGAATGCACATCCCATGCTTCTGGATGTGTGCGAGGCCATGGCCAGGAGAGGGAAACAGCAGGGACACAGGCAAAAGCCCAGCAGGGCAGATGCTGCACCCTGACGCCCACACCCAGCCTGCAGGCTGCTGTGGCACCGTGGAGCTGAGGGGCCAGCAGCCCTGAGCCCTGCAGGTCTGCAGGTTGTAGCCCAGCAGGGGCCACTGTGGGGACCCTGTGAATTCTCAGAGGAAGCCACTGGGACCCTGTAACCCTCCTGTCCCCCATGCTGCAAACCCAGCACGGCATGGCTGTGCCGCACCCACTGGACTCCCGACCCCGGGGGCCTGGGAGGCCTTGTGGCTGGGCACGGACAGATGCTTCCCACTTCCCGGGCCCTCTCTCGTCACAGTGCAGAACACTTGCCTCCTACCCGTGCCGATCTCTGCAGCCGCTGGGCTGCACCTTCCAGTCTCCTTTCCCAGCCTGCCCCAGATTCTTCAGCTATTTCTGATCCGCTCCTTTTTGCTCCTGATTCTGTGAAACTGGCTAAAAGCAGCCTGTGCCTCGCCCAGGTGTTCTGCTGCCTTGGATCCCTCAGACACCTCGGCCGTCCGTCATCTTCGAGCATGGCCTCCTGCAGCTCCCGGGGCATGAATGCAATGTTTCCAGATTATTCTCCGAGTGCAGCTTTTTCTCCATTTCCCCACAAAATCTTGTTTCTCTCTTCTGAGCCCCTCCTCAAACACCTCATTCCTTCAGCTTCACTCACAGTGCCTGAGGCTCTCTGCCCCCTGCTCCAGGGCTCATGCTCCCGCCTGCTCTTTGCTCCCATCTTCCTCACGCACAGTTGCCAGCCCACTGGTTCCAGATGTGTGGCTGGTCCTGCCCTCTGGGTTGCCCACCTGCAGCTCCGAGTGCACAGGTGGAGGTGGCTTGCGGGGTCACCCTAGAGACTGAGGGTGGCCTGGTGGCGGGTGGGTGGAGCACAGCCCCAGGAGAGGTCCTGACTGCTGTGGTCCCTCCGTGGCCTGGGGGCCCTGTGCCAGTTTCCCCACACCCGGCACAGCTTCAGTCCTAGGTCGGGCCAGGCATTTCCGGTTTACCCTGCTGCTCCCAGAAATGCACCTTCCTGCCTGTCCTGCTGCTGCCCAAAGGAGCACTGGACTTCAGCCTGAAACAGCCATGCTCGGTTATCATTCTTCCACGTGGGGTGGGAGCCATGGGCTCAATCGGATCGGCCTTGGGATCTCATGTCCCTCCGTGTGCCCCGGGGTCCTCAGGACATGGAGGCAGAGTCCAGTGGAGAAGGCCCTGGACCGTAGCAGGTGGAAGTGGTCACTTTTTCTAATGTAATAGGGCCAGGGGAGTTGGAACTATAGAGATGCGCCACACTGAATTAAATGGAGTCTTATTATCATAGCCTCGAAAAACTCTGGACAAAGGAAAGCAGTCTGCAGGGTCCTTTTAAGGCTCTTTTATTTGGGGAGGGCTCAAGGAGAGGGGAGCACAAACGGAATTTTACAGGAGCAGAACTTTGTTAAGCTAGTGGGGGTCGGAGCAGTGTCACGCAGTTCAGTTAAAACAAAGTATCTCACAGGTGCAGGAGTCCTCTGTTTTCAAGGTAGTAAAGGTAACAGTTGTAGACTGCTCTATCAAAAGGTCACAAAGATAACATGGAGTTGACTCACACAGGATGGAAGGGGAGGGGACCACCCAGAATCACTGGACCTTACACAAATGGAGTCAGGTTGGCTGTCACACTAAGCTGACCTCTGAAGTGACTGTCATTTCCACTGCATTCAGGTCATCACAGGCAAATTCCTAAGGCAGCCAAAGGAAGCGACTTGCTTTACAGCTTGCCAGGATGCAGGGGGTCAGACATCTAAAGCCACCGCCGCCCGTGCCCTGGGTGCTGGAGACCAGGCCCCAGCTTCCAGCAGCATCCTCTGGGTCCTTGTTCAGAGTGGGCTTGGTCCCGTCGGGTTCTGGTGGCCCCTCAGGTTTTGAGCGTTGCCAGTTAGGTCTCCACGAGAGGCTGAGCTTTGCAGATCAGGTAACCAGGGGCCGGAAGTGCGAATAGGAGAGCCTGTGCCTCTCCCAGTGCTTCCCTCTGGGGTCTCAGCAAGGGAGCCACAGTTTCCGAGTCTTCAGGTTTGCTTTTAGTGGGGGCTTTGTGAGGGCACCAGCAGGATGTCCATGCAGTAGGGCCCGGTGGGCACAGTGTGCATCCACAGCTGAAGACACCACGGTGCAGTGTTGCCATGGTGCTCAGAGACTGGCAGTGACAACCACTTGTCACCCAGTTATCCTTCCACGGCCAAGGCTACTGGTGTGCCCCCAGTTTACTTAAATGCTAGACTCAGGTGCTGCTGTTTGAATGGAATGGTTGGGTAATAATATTCTGTGTATCTTGGTCATAAAATTTCATGGATGAGGGCTGGGGGTTTATCTCAGTGGTTCTGCCACCTGCCTTGCAAGCGCAAGGTCCCAAGTTCCATCCCCGGTACCAAAAAAAAGAAAAATTCATGGATGAAGTTTCCATAAGCTTTTGAAGAAGGTAAGAAAATACTGTAGTATGGTGCATGCCTGTAATCCCAGCACTTGGGAGGCTGAGGCAAGGGGATTGCCCTGAGTTTGAGTCCAGCCTGGGCTATATAATAATACATAACCCCACGGAGAGGACGTGGCCTGCAGACAACCTCATAATGCAGAGACAAGGAAAAGGACACAGGTTTGCTTCATCCATTTTGTGAGCCGAATGTAGGAAGAAACATTGGTTTTATTTCTTAGAGGTAGAGCAAAGAACTAAATTTCCATCGGGTTCAGTGAAGAAAGACACTTTGTTAGGAAACCTAGTAATGATTCAGTTGAACTTCTGGAAACAAGAAATTTCAAATCAATGATTACAAAGCATTTTGTAAATACATGTGGCATGACGTAGAAGAAAAATTTTAAGCACAAATTAGTGCCAAGTTCATTGTTATGGCAAAATATTCTGAGCGTGGGTGTGGTCATCCTTGGAGAAGAACATAGTTGTTTTTAGGGCCAGGGATTTAGCTCAGTGGTTCCGCCGCCTGCCTCACTAGCACAAGGACCCGAGTTCGATCCCCGGTACCAAAAATATATATATATAGTTATTTTTTATTTTGTGGTTGTCATTGTTACTATTCTTACGTTGGGCTTTGATATCCACTCTCCCCTAGAAACGCTGCAGCGGCTGCACCAGCAGCTGGTCGAGGCTGAGCGCCGGTCCATGACATACTTGAAGCGGTACAATAAGATCCAGGCCGACTACCACAACCTCATTGGGGTCACGGCTGAGCTGGTAGATTCTCTAGAGGCCACGGTCAGCGGCAAGATGGTAAGGGGATTGCTAGCTATGGATGTATCTGTAAATCTCTGAACCTAGGTAAGATGAGATCCTACTAGGGCAGTTGCCAGGCGGGGTATGAGGATCAGTATTTTGATAAATGGTGCAAAATTGTATCTCTAAAATGTCAACAGTGCCTGTCCCCGAGCAGTGTGTCACAGTCGCTGTTTCTCCATACACATAGCAAATCTGTCTAGGATTAAACCTTGAAATCTTTGCCAGACTGGTAAGGGAAACTTGATATCCTGAATGTTTTAATTTGCATTTATGTATGAATCTGAATATATCTTCCTATGTTGTTGGCCATGCTTTTTTTTTTTGGTCAACTGGCTATTCATGTCCTTTCCTCCTCCACCTGTTGTGAGCAAGGTGGTGACATATCAGACTTGCCTGTTGGAGGGGTGGTCCTGGTCGCCCTTCCGGTAGTCAGAGGAGGAAAGTGGCAGGGCCAAGGGTTGCTTCAGAGGCTCAGATTACACAGAGAACGCCGAAGATGAGAACTTTGGACCCTGCAAGGTCCTCGTGGTGGCCACTGCCGCATGAGTTCCGTGGGGAAATGTGGCTGCTGGGGAAAAGTGGAGGACCACGCCTCAGGGCCAGGGCCTGGGCTGCCATGGGAGAAGGCTGAGGGGGAGCCAGTAGGAGCTGGTGGGCCCTCAGGAGGGCGGTGAGGTTGTGTTTTCAGCACAAATCATTTTCCAACGTGCTTTGGGGGCTACAGAGAAGGAACAAGATTTACAATTCAGGATGAAAAAGGGATGTTTACATTTTAATGCTATTGCAACTCAGTTCATGGATAATGTCTCTGTCATTCACTCAGCAAGTGTTTATTTTGCCACCTGCCATGTGCCAGGCATGCCTTGGACCTCATTCGCCCCTCACACGACAAGGCAGGGACATGTGTCCTCTTGCTGGGCAGGCTGGCATGTCCTGGGCAGAGGTTCCGGTTCCCTCAGGAGCCCAGGCCTTGAGCCAGACCCTCTGATTCGACGCCTGGCACTCCCTGTGGCCACAGAGTGGCCTCTTTTTTTTAACTTCAATTTACAAAATATGCACTCGCGTCTATTTTCCACGGGAGTGGAGATGCACCAGGCGGAATCAGCTCAGAACTGCGATGTCTCGGTGGCATCTGCAGGACACTGGCGGGTTCTCCTGTCAGTCAGGTCCATGCGTGGCTTCCTCCTGGCGTGTCCAGCTCCTCCAGTTGTTCCTGCACCTCACCTCGCCTGTCCCTGCAGATCACTCCTGAGTACCTGCAGAGCGTCTGCGTCCGCCTCTTCAGCAACCAGATGCGGCAGAGCCTGGCGCACAGCGTGGACTTCACCAGGCCCGGCACGGTGAGGCACTGTCACCCGCCTGTCCCCCCACTGGAGAGTGAAGGCAGCCAAAGACTGGGAAGGTGAGGGAGGGAATCGTCAGAGGCCCCGCCGCCGGCCTGGGAGGAGGAGGAAGCTGCGTGAGGCCTGCAGCCCCCTGCGTGGGTGAGGAGCGGGGTGCCGTGATCGCGGGGCAGAGGAGTGGCAGGGAGCCTTCGTTCTCCGGCTTTAAAAACAGCCGTATGAAGCCAAGTGTGGTGGCGCGCCCCTGTCATCCCAGCACTCAGGAGGCTGAGGCAGGAGGATCACAGGGAGCTCGAGGCCAGCCTGGACTATGTAGCAAGACCCTGTTATATAACTATATAATCACCAACTAGTTAAATCAAACAGTGAGTCCATTTCTTATCTACTGGCCATTTCCTGTCTCCTGGGTGCCCTTCGCAGCATCCCTCCTCCGGGAGCCTGGGGCTGAGCGTTATGGTCACCAGGGCCCCTCAGTCTCCTTTCCTCGAGAACATTTACCTCACCTTTGTTTGCTCCACTTTCCCGACACTGACATTTTGGGAGAATATAGCTTCCACCGGGCGCTCAGAGCTGGGCGGGGGCACCTGTGTGTTAGAGCCACTGCTTTGAGATAAGGCTTGGTGCGAAGATATTAGTTTTCCTACAGGGAGACCAGCTGGGGTATTTAAAGTAACAGCCACAGCCGCCTCTTCTTGTTATGAGGAAACACAAACACGGGAAATGAGACAAAGATGAGCAAAGGTGTGGGAAGGAAAATAAAGGTAGGCAAAGCACAGGGACAGAAATGCTTGTGCTGCATGGCTGGACCCTGGAGAGGCAGGCCTGGGGTTTGGCTCTGAGCTTCCTAGCAGCCCGTGCAAAGAGGGAGAGGTGCACAGTTAATGACCCACCCGGAGGAAGCCAGAGCGGGCAGCCCCATGGCTTTGTGAGGCCCCATTTGCTGCGCTGAGGCAACGAGCGCTGCTCACAAGGCCTGGAGGCGCTGCAGTGAGAGCCACTCCCGGGCCACCGCATGCCCCAGTGCAGCCACGTCAGTGCCACGGACGTCCCTGCCCCCTTCAGATTGCTAAGTGCTTTCACTTGTTCCTCTCACTTTTATAATTTAAAAACAAAATGAAATCCATTTTTAAAAAGACTAGGTGGCCACACAGCCGCTGTACAGCTCCCCCAGTGCCGAGACTGAGCAGGCGTTCAGTCGCACCCCTGCACTCCCAGAGGTGCCTTAGAGCCGCGTGTCCCCTGTGCACGGGGGACAGAGAGAGGGCAGAGGCAGCGCGATCCTAGCGGAAGAAGGACACAGCCTCAGGGCTCTTAGCACTCAGAGATCTTAGCAAATCCACCCTTCTTTGCAGGTCACTAAACACTGGAGAGCCAAGTTTTAGAAAAGTAGTTTCTTTTCTTTTTCTTTCTTTTCTTTCTTTCCTTTCTTTCTCTCCCTCTCCCTCCCTCTCTCTGTCTCTCTGTCTCTCTGTCTCTCTCTCTCTCTCTCTCTCTCTCTCTCTCTCTCTCTCTCTCTCTCTCTCTCTCTCTCTCTCTCTCTCTCTCTCTCTCTCTCTCTCTCTCTCTCTCTCTTTCATTTTTGAGACAGGGTCTCCCTATGTAGCCCAGGCTGGCCTTAAACTCAGAGATCCTCCTGCCTCAGCCTCCTGAGTACTGGGATCACAGATGTGTGCCACCACACCCAGGAAACAAGTAATTTCTTCTTGAGCCTTGCAGGCCTAGGGGCTTTGAGCCACACCTGAGCCCCCAGAGTTGGCTGAGCCGACCCGTGTGGGCAGCGCCCTAGGAGAGGATGGCTTTGCTCCTGGCAGCTGGCACAGCAGGGTCTGCACCTGGCAGAACTCTCCCCTCCCCTCCCCTCCCCTCCCTCTTGTCACGGCTGGGGGCTGAGCACGTGGGCTCGACGCTTAGCCCTGTTCCTGGCCACTGCCCATTAGATGCCAGTGGCAGCACCCCTGGTTTGGACAACAGGAAAGGTCTCCAGATATGGCTACATGTTCCCCGGGGGCAAAGTGACTGGTGGAGAAGCACAGGCGGGAAAGGGGGACTTGGGCAGCGCAGCATGGAAGACACCTCCATGCACTGGGCACAGGGGGCAGCAGAGCAGGCGACTCTGAGTGAGGGTGCAGGGCAAGGCCAGGCGAGTCCGCAGGTGAGGAGGAAGGAGGCTGAGGCAGGTGGGTCTCCAGAGGGGAGGCTGAGGACGGGGTGGTGACAGCAGGCCTGAGGGACCAGGGCTCTGGGACCAGACTGCTGGTCTAGAGCCCGGTGCTCTGCCTCTGTCCCCTCACCTGGGGGCAGACATGGCAGTGCTGGGAGTGAGCTGGTCCCCAGGAAGCCAGGGACACTGGTGCCATGGGGTCTCCCAGAGCCAAGGGCGGGGTGCAAAAGTCTGCTGTGGCCAGGGCTGGTCCAGGGGAGGCCTGCGAATCGGACACTGTGCAGATCCCCGGCTGTGCTGCCGGCCTGGGTCAGGGCGAGGGCTCCGCAGCCTACACTGACGCCGTCTGTTTCTCTCTTACTCCCGCAGGCCTCGACCATGCTGCGCGCCTCCCTGGCACCTGAGTAAGTCGCGGCCCTCAGGAATGGTTACTAACAAGGCCTGAGTAGAGGGAGCTCTCTGACCACTCGCAGCCCTGCTTAGAGCAGTGACTTTGAGCAGAGCTGCCGTGAGCTTGACAGGAAGTGCCAGGGTCGGCAGTAACTGCACTGTCTTCTAACGTTACTTCTGTTTCCTTGGGGAGGTGGCATCAAGCGGGGGAAATGCTGGATTATTTTTCCCGTGGTATTCTGTAGAAGTGAGAATTTTGCCTTTCATTAACTAGTTAATGCTGGTCCTAGGAACTGCCGAGGCTTTGCACTGAGCTGCATCTCCAACCCTTTTAATTTTTTAATTTGAGACAAGGTCTCGCTAAATCACTGAGTTGCCCAGGCTGGGCTTGAACTTGTGATCGTCCTGCTTCGGCCTCCCAGAGTGCTGGGATTTCAGACTCAAGAGTCTGAGCATTTGCTCTCTGCTGCGCCCACTGCATCCTGAGCGCAGCTGTCCAGCTCACCCGTATCACCCACGGCAGAGTCTGACTCCGGGGCTCCTCAGCAAGAAGTGGGCGGCTTGGGGCTGGAGGTTGGGGCTAGGGCAGCATCGTGTCCACTCCTGTCACCTGGTGGCACAGTCATGTAGTGCATTGGTTAAAATCCCGCCTCGGCCCCCAGCTCCATGACCTGGGACTGCTGAAATAACTCCTCTGTGCCTCAGTTCGCTCACTTGTAAGAGGAGAAGAAGAATAGTAGTAGCTTCTGGGCTTGTGTGAGGATAGAAACGGGCTTATGTGTATAAAACACGCAGTAGAGTGACAGGGACATAAACTCTGGGTTTGCTGTGACGCAGGGCCAGGTTGCCTACAGAGTAAGGGTGTGCATGTTGTCTAGCCCAGGCTGGCCTCAAACTTGAGGCGATCCTCCTGCCTCAGCCTCCCCAGTGCTGGGATTACAGGCGTGCACCACCACCCCGGCTAAGGGTTAATGTTTTATACAAGCCCAGTCATTGCCCACATCAGAAAGTTAGTGGGATGTGCTGCACGCCTTCACGGCGATGCTTTCTTTTCCCAGCTGGGTTCCACCTGGGGTGGCCCAGGGCTCAGTTGTCCTAACTTCTTAGCGCTCATCTTTGGCTCTCCTGATCTCGACGCTTTTGAGGAATCCTGTTCAGTCATTTACCACTAGAACTGTGAAAGGAGTTCTGTGACTTTCCAGACTCAAAATAGTATCTGCCTCAGGAGAAAAAAAAGGCACAGTGAGTGCGTGTGCGTCTTCCCGCGGGGTGTGGGAAGCTCTTCCTGCAGGCTTCAAGGGGCCATTTCCGGGCCTCTTTCCAGGCCCTTCCTTCTGGACTCGTTTTGTCTAATAAAAACACTTCCAAAAAACTAGCACGTAATTTTCCTTAGTACCATATGTAAGCGATAGGTATAGGTGCTCATTGTAGGAAATTTGCATATACTAGAAACATATGAAGATAAAACTATAAAGCAGCCCAAATCCTGCCTCCCAGAACCATTACACTTAAAACAAATGACCACTGGGGAGGCTGAGGCAGGAGAATGGAAAATTTGAGGCCAGCCTGGGCAACTTGGTGAGATAGTGTCTGGGAGTGAAGTTTAGGAAAGATCTCATGTGACAGTTGTGTCCCATCCACAGGAGGAAGCTGACATAGAGATGGGATCCTCAGTTGGACCCCAGGCCTCATCCACTCTCAGCAGTTCCCCTGTGCTCTCACCTCCTTTTATGCAGCAGAACAACAAAACAAGATGTGAGGACACGTGTGTGTCTGTGTCGTGGTGCCAGGGAACCAGAAGCGATCCTTTAGTCTCCGGCTAACGGGGAAGGGTGGATCTCTAAGCAGAGGCCTGCAGTCTCCAACTCAGGGCTTCTCGCAGGGTCAGGCGTCCTGTGCCCTCCACTTGGGCCCCAGGCCCTGCCCGAGGGTCCAGTGTCCTCCCCTCCCTCTTTGAAGTGGTTTCCCATCCCCGTCCCATCCCTTGATTCCCTAGTCTGGACAGCGACAGTGGCCTAAGGTTTTTAAGTGGATCTCTCCAGGCCTGTGGGCTTTGCTCAGTCAGAATGGAGGTTGGTGGAAAGTTAAGTCACCGGCCCCACAGTGACTTCTTCACCATCACGGGGAGCCCCAGGCTGAAGGGCTGCAGTGGCCTCTACAGCTGTTCAGGCAGACACTTGGTTTTAGGAAAAATGTGATTAAAAATATATATATATATAAGCAGTGTAACACTGAGCATTTGGGAAACTGAGGCAGGAAGATCACCGAGAGTTTGAGGCCAGCCTGAGCTACCTAGCGAGATTCTGTCTCAAAACCAAAAAAAGAGAACCTCAGTCCCCCAACACAGCAGGTGGTGCTGAGCTGGCCACCTGGGCTGGGGCATGTGGGGGCAGGGCGGGCGCAGCCGGGCGCCACCTGACCAGCTCCAGAGCGATGTCCTTTCCTTTCCCTTTGGCCTGTGAGCAGGAAACTCCAGGACGTCCCCCTGCTGCCCTCCCTGGACTACGAGAAGCTGAAGAAGGACTTGATTTGGGGGAGCGACCGCCTGAAAGCCTTTTTGCTGCAGGCTCTGCGCTGGGTAGGTGCCTTTCCCTTTTCCCGGCGGGCACCTTGCTCGTACCTGGCTCGTGCTAAAAATCTTCCTGCCACCAGCTGCCACCAAGGGCCAAAGTGCGACACAGCTCCTGTGGACACTGCCCGCATGTGATAACGCCACAGCCAGCCTTGGTCCCCAGCCCTGACCCTGGTCACAGACACACGCAGGCTGAGCAGCCCTGCTCTGAATTCTCACTTCCATCTCGGAGCCAGCCCTGGGTCTCAGCCATACCAAGGGGCCGAGAGCTCCTGTTCATGTGAATTTCATCTCTAGTGTGTACAGCACTGGAACTGAAAACTGAGAAAGCTTAAAATATGTATGTATCAATTCATGTGAATGAATAAGCAAATGGCATTTTTTATGAAAAATGACAGTTTCCCAAACAACAGAGAAAATTAGTTAGCTGGGCATAGCGGTGTACACTTGGAACTCAGCACTCTGAGAGCCTGAGGCAGGAGGGTCTCAAGTTCCAGCCCCATCTGGGCAACTAAACGAGGCTGTCTCAAAAAATAAAAAGGCCTGAGGAGGTAGCTCAGTGCAGTGGCCCTGGGTTCAATCCCCAGGCCTGCTTAAAAAAGAGAAGAGTGGCATTGTTTTACATTTTGTGTTTCTTAACTTCTGGTTTCATGGAGGCCGGCTGCATCCTGTCTGCTTTTACTCTGGGTTTGCCACAGTGTCACACTTCCTATGGCCTCTGAAGGACTGATCACGAGACTAGCACGGCATACCTTAGTGTGAAAACCCCCGGCCCCTAAGAGGGTTTGGGGGACCCTCGGGGTTCCCTGGACTGCACTTTGGGAACTGCTGGCTGGTGCCCGCGGTAGTTGCCACTGACTGGCGGGTCTGTGCTGCCTCACGCTTAGCGCCACCCTCCGTGGGGCCTGGCACTGACATCCTATGTGCACTTCCCCAGCCTGCAGGGCGTGTGCCTGCCTCTGCTGCCCGCCCTCCTGTCACCCCTGCTGCTCCTGCCAAGCGCCCGCGCTGAGAGCCGGGTGCCCTTTCCTCAACCGCGCTCTCCGGGGCCGGGGCCGGAGAAGCAGGGCCCGTGGCCTCGAGGGGTTGCCTCAGGGACTTCCTGGGAGACCAAGGGCCTGCTCGCCTCAGCGAGCCGCCTTCCTCTTCCCACGCGCACGCGCACACGGCACGCACTCCCACTCCCACGAGGAACTCCCTGGTCCCCGTGGACAGTGTGGAAATCCGTGCAGAAAGCAGCACAGCACACTTCCCGCTCCGGCTCCCCAAAGTCTCGAAGACCGAGGCGCTGCCTGCTGCACGCGCACCCGGGCTCACGCGCACGCGCTTGCACACGCAGTATCGCTCCCTCCGCCTGCGGCGGCGAAGTCCGGTTTGCGCGTGGCCCCGTTCAAAGCCCCTGCCCACGGAGCCCCCGCGCCCCGAGTCTGCCCCGCCCGCACCCTCCCAGGGCCTCTGCCTGCCGCCTCACTCGCCCCTCGCCTTGAGACCCGTCCTGTCGCTTTCCTTCCCGTCCTCCAGCGCCTGACCACGTCGCACCCCGGAGAGCAGCGCGAGACGGTGCTGCAGGCCTACATCGGCAACGACCTCCTGGACTGTCACAGCCGCCCGCAGGTGCGCCCGGGGCAGGGGCCGCACGGGGCTCCCAGAAAAGCTGCAGACGCGGCTTGTTGGGGCCCTGACTAGAAGCAGCTGCTGAATGGATAGTTTTCTTTTTTTGTCTTTTTCTCTTTGGTATCGGGGATCGAACTCAGGACCTTGCGCTTGTGAGGCAGACCAGGCGCCACTGAGCTAAATCCTCGTCCCCTAATTCTTTTTATTACTACACGTTTGTGGTACGTGATGATGACAGTCATCATGAGGTACACGTGCATAACACGTCTTTATTCTTTATGTCCCCTCCTCTCCCTTCCCTCCCAGCTGCCTGTTTCGCCTATCCTTCCACACCCTCTTTCCGTCTCTTTTTAAAATTATCTTTTATTTTGCTCTTTCTTTGTTTTGGGTTTCTTATACAAGAGAAACCATGCATTATTTCAGTGTGTGTGTGTGTGATTTATTTCACTTAACATTATAGTCTCAAGGTGCGTCCATTTTCCCACAGATGACTCAAGTTTATCCTTCTTTATAGCAGAGTAGTACTCCATGGTGTGTAAATACCATGTTTTCTTTATCTGTTTTTCAGTTAATGGACATATGGGCTGCTTCCAAGGCATAGCTATTAAGAATTGTGCCGCTGTAAACATGGGTATGCATGGGTCAGTGTAATATGATGACTTTAACTCTTTGGAAAAGATACCTAGAAGAATAGCTGGGTTGAATGGAATTTCTTGCTTCATTTTTTTGAAGAATCCCCATACTGATTTCCATAGTATGTGTTCTAGTTTACATTCCCACCAACAATGTAGAAGGCTTCCTTTTCCCCCTGCAGCCTCACCAGCATTTGTTGTTACCTGATTTCATGATCATGGCCATTCTTTCTGGAGTAAGATGTAATCTCAGTGTTTTAATTTGCATTTCCGTAATGGCCAGAGTTGTACAACATTTTCTCATGTATTTATTGACCATTTGTATTTCTTCTTCTGAGAAGTGTGTGTTCATTTCAGTTGCCCACTTTTTGACTGGGTTTTTTTCGTTTGGGAAGGGGGAGGTCTAATTTTTTTAAGTTCTTTATTTTTCTAGATATTAGTCCTCTCTAGCTGCCAAAATTTTTTTTCCCATTCTGTCGGTTGTCTCTTCACCGTGTTATTTCCTTTGCTGTGCAGAAGCGTTTTAATTTGATGTAGTCCCATTTATTGATTCTTGGTGTTAGCTCTTATGAACTGGGGTTCTGTTCAGAAAATCCTTGCCTATATCTGTGTCTCCGAGAGTTTTACCTATTTTGTCTTCCAGCAGAGTAAGTGTTTCTGTTTTAATATTTAGATCTTTGATCCATTTTGATTTTAGTTTAGTGCATGGTGAGACCTAGGGTCTAGATTCAACCTTCTCCACGTGGATAGGCAGTTTTCCTGGCACCAGCTGTTAAAGAGGTTATCGTAGGGGGCTTGAGGGGGAGAATGGGATAAAATAAAATAAAATTTATTTTTTAAAAAGAGGCTATCTTTCCTACAGTGTAAGTTGGCCCCTTTGTCCAAAGTCACATAACTGAATGTGTTTGGACTGTTTCTGCATCCTCTACTCTGTTCCATTGATTCACATCTGGTTTTTTGTTTTGGGTGTTTTGGGGTTTTCTGCCAATACCATGCTGCTCTTATCACTGTAGCTTTGTACTATAAGTCTGGAATTGCATATAAGTCTGGAATTGTGATTCCTCCTGCCTTGTTCTTGTTACCTAGGATTGCTTTCGCTATTCTAGGTCTCTTCTTCTTCCATATAAATTTTAGGATCATTTCCTCTAGTTCTCTAAGGCCATTGGTATTTTGATTGGGGTTGTGTTGAATCTGTACATCAGTTTTGGAAGTGTGGCCATTTTGACGATATTGGTTCTGCCCTTTGTGTCTCGGGTTGCACACTGCTGTTCCCCCAACAGCGATTGTAAACTTAGCACCAGGAGCAGTTTAAAGGACTGAAGTTTAAAACAAGGGAAGACGCTTTATTTGTAAGGGGAAACCAGAAGAGAGAAAGCTACCCTGTGAAAGATGAGGATAAGGGGCCCTGGAAGATGGCTGCCTGCCAGCCTTTGTCCCCAGCTGCCTTTTAGCAAGTGATAAAGGCCTTCCCTCCCACGTCACAACCTGATTGGCCGCCTGGACTGTCACAGATGGACGCTAGGCCATAGGACCCTGACCCAGGACACGGTCAGTTATGTGCATGTTCCTAGATAGGCTTTTGTTTGGTTTTCCCTGCCCGCTTGTGTTTGTCAGGGCCTTGTCTCCAGAATTTATAGGTTGGTTTCAGAGGAACCCTTGCATACAGGCTCACTTGTAGTTAGTGATTAAGTAAGAGGATGCGTGCAGCAATGTAGTGGCCCTGGAGGGGGAGTGTGTGTGAGTGTGTGTGTGTGAATGTGTGTGTGTGTGTGTGTGTGTACTAAGAGTTTTCTTTTAAGTGCCTCCCCTTGTCTCCTTTGCATTTTCCTGGAGGTTGGGAGGGTGGCTCTTTTGGTTGGTGCACCTGGCTGCTCTGCTTATCATCTCTCCCGGTGTCCTCTTAATTGCTCTCTTCAGCAAAGTTTTAACTCCCCCTAGTCAGGATTTGCAGAAAGCCTAAGGATGCCCCTCCTCCATCCTTTCCCTGCCCACAGACACTTTTCCCCTAGGGATGACAGACTTGCACCACAACTTGGCACCCAGCCTCTCCTTTAGGCCCTTTCATTCCTTCGCCTGTGCCCCCTCTCAGCCTTCTGGGGGGAAGGGGCGGGTGAAGGAGCAGGGTGAGCCCGGAGCCCTTGGCTGCCTCAGGCGGCATCCCGGGCTGCAGCGCTGCTTCCTGAGCTGTGTTCGTCCCCTGCTCTCTCATGTCCTCTCTTCTGTCCCTGGGGACTGACGTCTAACCCCTGCCCTGTGGTTTGCTGAGGTGAGCAGGGGCCGGGTTGGATGTGTCATGGGCGCTGCCACTGTCACCCGGGAGTCACCAGCTGTCACCACGTTGCATCCCCACCTCCTTTACTTCACGAGTCTGGACGGGGTCTCCTAAGTCTGCTGGATGCAGGTGGAAGGTCGGGACTTCCAGGCGTCCAGATGGCTTTTGGTCTGTGAATTTCCCAGCCAATAAGTTCAGGGGAGGAAGGGAACAAGCCGAGCCCAGGAGGCCGGGTCTCCCACTCCCCTCACCCTGTGTCTGTCCCCACAGAGGAGCGTGCTGCAGCTGCTGCACTCCAAGAGCGAGGTGGTCCGGCAGTACATGGCCCGGCTCATCAACGCTGTGGCATCGCTGGCCGAAGGTGAGCACTTTCCCCAGGGGCAGAGAGGGCCGAGGGGAGCCTCCACGTATGAAAAGGAACCTTCTTCCTGTTTCTCAGGGAAGACGTGGTTCCACCCAGCACAGCAGCACAGGCCTATAATCTCAGCTGTGTGGGAGGCTGAGCCAGGAGCATCACCAGTTCCAGTCCCACCTGGGCAGTTTAATAAGACCTTGTCTCAAAGTAAAAAATAAAAAAGATCTGGGGACGTAGCTCAGTGTGGAGGCTCCAGTACCACCCGACCCCACAAAAAAGATAGATTTCTCACTTTACTCTTATTTAATTCATGTGAAGATCAGTTCTTGTCATATTGTGGTAGCTTCTTTCAGAGCAAATTTTATGGCGTTTGGAGTTTATTTTATTATCTGTTTTATTAAGCTTCCTAGCTTTATAATAATATTGTTGAGATTTCTTTCAAGCCCATAACAGATAATACTTTTTCAGTCATTTTCTACTTAAGTAAGGTTGGCAGAATAGTGAAAGCTGATTCCAATAAGCACAGCACTGGTTCCCCCAACATAGGACCAGCTCCCCAGCCGAAGGACTGGACAGTCCCCAAGTGACACCCCACCAGGGCGGAAGTAACAGGGATTTCACACAGTGCAGCGATTGTCCCAGAGATCCTCTTTGTTTGAGTTCTTTTTTATTTTAATACTTTATTTATTTTTTGTACTGGGGATCGAGCTCAGGACCTTTCGCTTGCAAGGCAGGCACTGTGCCACTGAGCTAAATCCCTTGCCCCTATTTTTAAAATATTTATTTAGAGACAGGGTCTTGCTATGTAGTTCAGGCTGGCCTTAAACCCATTGTTTAGGCCAGGGTGCCCTTGAACTTGCAGTGATACTCCTGCCTCAGCCTCCCAAGTACTGGGATTTTAGGCATGCCTCACCATGCCTGGCTTGAGCTCTTTTTAATATGAATTAAAGTTTTCAAATTATGAATACAGGTCTTCTGAAAGTTTGTTTATTCATTGATGTGTTTATTAGTCCATCCTCCAGGCAGGCATGTATTGAAAGACAGGGTATGTGCTGAGAAGTGTTGGGCTGATGACCCTGTGGAAGCCTGCATCTCTGTAGCCGGGCATGGTGGCACTAGGAGGCCAGCCTGAGCTGCATGGACACACCCTGTCTCAAAAAACAACAAAACAGGCCAGGCTGGTGGCACACTCCTGTAATCCCAGCACTCCAGGAGGCTGAGGCAGGAGGATTGCTGGGAGTTTGAGGCCAGCCTGGGCTACACAGTGAAACCCTGTCTCAAAAAAACAAAACAAAAACAAAAACAACAATAAAACAGTCAAAATTAACATCTCTGTATCAGTTGGGAAGTCGCACAGGTTAGTGGCCGTGACCCCAGGCGTGGCTTCCCGAGGGTGCAGGGGGCATGGTCAGAGCCTCCTTGGCTGCCCCCACAGCAGAGGGCCGGGAAGTCTGATGCAGGCCTGCTGCCCCTTTCCTCACAGAGCTGACTGTCAGGGCTCCCCACAGGGACATACCAGGGATTATGCTCAACTTACTGGAAGTGTCATTAGTTGATTCAGTAAAACTAGCTTCTAGAAGAAATGCATTTTACCACGGTTGCCATGGGGCCGGAATTCATATGTCTCTCTGCCTGGCGGCTTAACCACCAGTGCTACATGCATGACTGTCCCACTATGGGGCTTATTATCAATTTTATTTGTAGAAAGACCGACAAAAGTGATTGGACCCATTTGTGCCACAGGCGGCTCATGCCGCTGGGAACATGTCAATGATATTTTTTGTTGCTGTTTGTTGCTGTTTTGAGACAGGGTCTCACTGTGTAACCCAGGCTGGCCTTGAACTCGCAGCAATCCTCCTGCCTCGGCCTCCTGAGCACTTATAGGCATGCACCACCACAATAATGACTTCCTTTCTGATATGAAATGCTGTGTTGCATGTCCGGTTTTCCTAAGTGCTGGAGCAAAGCAGACCCACCCTGGCCCTCTCCCGTCCTCTCTGGTGTGTTCTTAGGTCGCCTCTACCTGGCCCAGAACATGCAAGTGCTGCGGATGCTGGAGGCCAGGCTGAAGGAGGAGGACAAGGACGTGGTGGCCCGTGAGAATATGCTCGGGGCTCTGCAGAAGTTCAGCCTCAGGTGACGACCAGGCCACAGGCCACCTGGGCTCCTGGGAAATCGGATTGGTGGTTTGGGAGCTTACTCAGCTCCCCGGAAACCTGGGAGGTGGGTGATGATTTTCCTGTAGAAGAGGCGGGGCTGGGGGCTTCCGGGCAAGGCTGGACCCGAATCTCCAACCCAAGGGACCCGCTCCCAGCCGCAGGGACAGAAAGTGTGCTGCAGCGACAGCGCCTCTGTGCTCTCCTGGTGCCCCCAGGCCTGGTGCCAGATGTGCTGGCTGTCTCGCCCCGTGAGCGGCCTTGGGTTGCCCCCCGCCTCTCGTGTCCATGCTTGGTGGCCCTGTGGGGTTGGGGTCAGGGCCTCCTGCCCCCTCTGCTTGCATCCCCACAGCCCAGTGCGGTGTCAGCCGGGCCTGGTGTGACCTGGAAGTTCCATGTCGGACTCTTAGAAAGCAGCCAGCGGAGGAGGCCTCTGTTCCCCCAGGACTCAGTTGAGGGCCCCATTACTTCCATGAGGCCTAGCGCCTTTCAGAGGCAAGCCAGGTGTTTTAGTGGGTTGCAGGTCCGTGCCCATCACCATGGCCTAATTTTAGGGTGTTTAGAGCATTTCCATCACCATGGAAAGAGCCTGAGTCCTCCTCCCTGACAGGCCCAGGACCGTGTTGCCCATCCCTGCAGTTACCTGCCCTGACTGTTCTCAAGGCTCCTCCCCCTCAGGCCCAGTCGGTGCTTTGTGCCTCTGTTGCCTGGTGACGTTTCCATCTGCCATGTGCTGCGTCTCGTGTGTCCACTCATTAGCTGGTGGACACTTGGGTTTTCAGTTTGTTCGTTTGTTTTAACATTATTGGGAATAGAAGCCAGGGGCTTCACACTGAGCTGCATCCCCAGTGCCTTTCTACATTTTGATTTTGACACAAGATCTAAGTCACCAAGTTCATCAGGCTGTGATTGAACTTGTGATCCTCCTGCCTCAGCCTCCTAGAGTACTGGGATTACAGCTGTGAGCTGCCACACCTGGCAAACCATCTGTCCTTTTGCTCTTTTTATTTTTTTCTTTATTTTCATACAGTTTAGGGTGGCTAACTAAATTATAAAGAGTCTATATAAAAATCTATTTTTCAAAAAGGTATTTCTATGGCCTGTTCCTTGGGTGAAGTAGACTAAACGTTATCAATACATATCCATTCAATTTTTTGTTTGTTTCTTTTGTTTTTCAAAGATCTTCCTACCTCAGCCCCCCTCCCCCAGTGGCGGGATTACAGGTGTGCACCACCATGCCAAGCTAAATATCCATTCACTATCTGCAGTAATACCCTGCTGACTCTAAATATGGAAAAGGACACTCCCAAAGCCTAAGGCCTCCTTACTACGTCTGGCGTGGCTGGAATTCGTTTATCTTGCTGCCCTGGGGCTCTGAACCACCAGCGGTACCTGCTGGACAGTGCCCCCCCCCCGGCCATGGAGGACAGTCCCATCAGGTCTACAGCCACAGACAGGACCGTCACCCAGGTGCCACCAGTGGTTCAAGCCAACAGAAGTGTCTTAGACTCATTACCACATCGCTGAGCAGTAGAGAATTTCTCGTGCCACAGCTGAATGGGTGTAGCAGGAACAGGACACAGAGTCCATATCTGCCGTGTGCTCCCTTCTGTGATTCTCGTCCCATGGTGCCAGGTCCCCTGCGTGGCTCCAGCTCACCAGTCCTGTGTCCTAGGCGCCCGCTGCAGACGGCGATGATCCAGGATGGCCTCATCTTCTGGCTGATCGAGGAGCTGAGGGAGCCTGACTGCCTGTCCGACTACATGCTGGAGTACGCGGTGGCCTTGCTCATGAACCTGTGCCTCCGCAGTGCAGGTCTGTACAGGGACGGTGGCTGGCAAGGAGGGTCCCTCAGAATCCGCTCGGGAGGCAAGGCCTTGCCAGCTCAGTCAAGGCCCTCAGGCTTGAAGGAAATGTTTCTGTACCCACAGGCCCCGCCCAAAAGTGAGAATTCAGCTCTCACATTTTCATCTTCATTATTCAAAGTTAGGAAGTTTGCTGGGTGTCCACCTGTAATACCAGCACTTGGGAGGCTGAGGCAGGAGGATCACTGCAAGTTCAAGGCCAGCCTGGACTACACAGTGAGACCCCTGTCTCAAAAACAAAACAAAAATCCCTGCAGAGACAAGAAGGGTGTCCCTAGAATTCCCCAGGGTTAGGCTGGTGGCAGTAGCAGTGACATTGTGCCACATGTCCTGCCGGTGATGGCTTCCCCCCTTCCCCAGAGCTGGGGGTTCTCACTCGGGCCTCACACACCACTTCCCTGGCTGGGCCGAGGCAGTGGCCTTAGCTGGGGACAGAGGGGCTTCATTACCAGAGGCACCAGGCCGCAGGGCCGGAGAGAAAGGCAAAATGTGGAGCACTCGGGGCCCCTGCCGGAAGCTCCGTGTCTCAGGCTGGCTCTGTTCTGAACTCCCTACCTGTGCGTTGACTGAGTCAATGACCATTGTCCCACTCTTCTGCTCTGAAAGGCGCCTCTGCCTGAAGCCCCGGGTTTTAAAAAGCTTGTTAGTCTTCATTCCCGCCAGCCAGCTCGAAGGATGACGGTGGTGTGGGGATGTAAGGGCTGTGTGGTTTCTGTGCGCTTGGGACAGGGCCTTGCTGTGCCACAGGTGACTGACTGGAACTGGCTGTGCCCAGTGTGGGAACAACACCACCAGCCCCCTAGCCCAGGGGCTCCTCGCACCCCACGCCTTTGTGTCCTTGGGCCGCAGAGTTGTCCGTCAGCCTCTGAGGGCAGAGTAGATTCCCTTCCCCATGGTCACAGAGCAGATCTACCCCTCCGGAAACTGCTTCGGAGTCAAAAGTCACCCTTTGTCCCCACAGGGAAGAACATGTGTGCCAAGGTGGCGGGCCTGGTGCTGAAAGTCCTTTCGGATCTCCTCGGGCATGAGAATCACGAGGTACGGGGTCAGGGGCGGTGTCTCGGACACAAGTACTTGTAATCCCAGCGCTCAGGAGGCCTGGGGAGGAGGACTGCAAGTTCAAGCCCAGCCTGGGCAATTTAGCAACTTAGTGAGACCCTGGCCCCCAGGGAAGGAAGAGGGCTGGGTGCAGCTCAGTACGAAGGCCCTGGCTTCAGACCCAAACATGGCCCTCGGCTCACAGGGTCCTGCCAGGTGTCCTCGGATGGGCTGGACCTGTTTGTGCTTCCACACACCTGGGTTATCTTCTCACTCTCTGATTTACAGGCCCAAAGGCCTTTTTATAAAGCAGAGGTGCAGGTAGCAAGCGACAGAATCCACTCGGCAGAGCTAGTTCTCCCGGGCCCCTTACCACACCTTGCAGGAGCCAGGCCTTACCATCAGCCGGGGTGGGGCTGATTTGACAGATCAGGCGCTGCTGGCCATCTTGGCAGGGCCGCTGGGTCACGAGGGAGGCACTGAGTCCCCACACACTGGCCCATCCCGAGCACACAGCTATGCCCTGTCCACCTCATTCATGGCGTCTGTCCTGCCGTCCAGTGGCTGGCTGGCATGGCTTCCGCAGCAAGTGGACCTTAGGTAGCTGTCACGGTTCCTGTCAGTCACTGTGAGCGTCGCACAGCCAGGCTTATGGACGCCGTGGCCCGAGTGCACTCTGTTCCTCACTCAGCGCAGCGCTGTGCATGTGGGCAGCAGTGTCAGCTCTGCACACCGTGTGGAGTGAAGGACTCTGTGTGTCACCGACTGTAGACACTGCATTTACTCTGAAAACGAGTGGGAAGGGCTCCCTGAGTGTTTCTCAGGACCTAGAACTGTGCTTATGCACAAATACGGCTGCACCCACATGTCCTGGTCCTGAACCCAGAAGAAAAGCATGAGCCTATTCGACTGTGTGCACATTAAAATATTTTGTATGGGAAAAGAGGCCACTCAAAGTCCAGATAGCTGGTGTGGTTGTGTGCAGATGCTTTTGTGCCGTGTGGTGTCGGTAAACGTGGAAAGATATGGTCAAGGTGGTGGAAATGAAGTGCGTGTGGGAGGCCTTCTCAGAGTGACACACACTGCAAGTGTGCTGGGCACGGGTGGCGGGCACACCCCGGGTCCCTCACTGTGGCCACCACAGCGTGGGGTCCACGGAAAGGGGCCCTGTCACCACATCCTGCCCTGCCCTGTGGTTCCTGCACTGATGTCCTTGGCTCCTGAGGGAGGGACCTCGTGTGAGGACCAAGGCAGTGTGGCCATGGTCCGTGGGACAGCAGGCAGCCTGGGCAAGGCTGGGGTTCGGGGTACAGGTGCCTGGCAGAGGCAGGTGGGTTTGGGAGTTGACGCAGCCGCAGTGCATGGATGTGGCCAGGGCAGCTCCTTCAGGTAGAACAGAGGGGCTCAGCAGAGCAGTCTTGGGGACCAGGGGTGCTGCGCCGTGAGAGTCGCAGAGGTGTTCAGAGACAGAGATGGCTGGATTTTGGACTTAGCTGCACCAGAAGGTACAGACGGCGACCTTTGCCATTTGAAGGCACACGTGCTGGGCTTGGCCAGGCTCCAACACCTGCTCTCCTCCAAGGCAACCATGGGACCCGCTAGCTGAGTTTGCAGTATTTGAAGACTTGCAAATGACTGGTTTTTTTCCCCCTTATAGATACAGCCATATGTGAATGGAGCTCTGTACAGCATCCTTTCCATTCCATCCATTCGGGAAGAGGCCAGAGCAATGGTAAGAAAATGTGCTGATAATTCCGGCTTCTCAAGAGGCTGAGGCAGGAGAGTCCCAAGTTCAAGGCCAGCCTAGAGAACTAAGCAAGACCCTGTCTCAAAACAAAAAGGCCTGGGGATGGAGCTCAACACAAAGGCCCTGCGTTCAGTCCCCAGTGTCACAATGAAAGAGGGAGGGGATGAAGGAAGGGAGACAGGAAAATGTGCCAAGCAATGCAGGGGCTCCCATTAGGCCCCATTGTGCCGTGGCTCTGAGCTGTGGAAGCCAGGACTGCCCAGACTGGACTCTGAGGACTGGACTCTTCGTGTAGTTCCCGGACTCCTCAACACTGCAGCCCGTGTTCACTATTTCCTGGGAAGAGAGCCTGTAGCTTTTATCAGAATCCCAAGGGCATCCCTGAATCCACGGTATCAGGACATCTCTAGCAAGTTTAGTTTTTACAAAGTCGTAGATATGCTGCTAGCAGCCAATCAGACGAGACAAGCTACAGGATTATGAACCTCCTAGTGCTTGGCTTGCTTGACACGGCATGAGCTCATTGTTTAATGCATCCATGTTAGTGCTTGTATTTGAAGCAGAGCACATGCATCAGGTGATCAGTGTCTTAGTTTGAGAGAACATATGTCTCTTGATCTATCGGCAAAACCACCAAGGTTTGGTCTTTTTCCTTACACCATGGGAAACCAGGGCAACGGGGTCTCCTTCCGTGAACACACATTTAATGTGGAAGCATCCTTCCACATTAAATTAAAGTGTATTTCCACACTGAAGACCACAGGCTGCATTTAGCTCGAGATCAAACACAACATTCTCCCGGTTGTCTTTGCCTGCTGAGAAAAATTACTGCATCTTCTCCATGTTCACCCAAAATTATGTCATCTCGTGTCCCAGAGGTAAAGGTTCATTTAAGAACTGCTCTGTGCAACCACTGCTTGAACTTCATTTAAATCCAAATCTGCATTTTTCAATACAGAGCAGGGAAAAAGAAACTCGGTTAAATTCTGCACATTGGCAGGCCGGCTGAAGAGGAAGAAAGGACAGTGCTGTAAAGAGGGGTGCTGGGGTGCAGTCAGTGGAGAGCGCTTGGCTAGCATGTGTGAGGCCTGGGCTCCACACTCAGCGACACGCACACACGCACACACACGCAGTGAAAGGCAGTGGGAAGGAGACAGCTGGCCAAGGGGCGGGGAAGCCGGGGGACAGGGAGCACATGAGGAGGTCAAGAGCAGGACCAGGGTGCCCATGAGACCCCCCCAGGCCAGAAGAAAGCAAAGGGAACACGGGCGGAGCCGCAGGTCCTTGGTGCCCGAGCTTGGATGTCTGTCCAGCAGGAGGCCCTGGAGGGAGGAATGAGAAGAAAGGCCGAATGATAGTGATGAAATTTGGTGAAAAACATACATAGTAATTTTTAACTTTATGAAGAATACTGAGATCATGCAGACAAAAGTGTAGATCTAGGCTTCCGCCTGGCGTTGCACGGTTAGCTGCCAGGCCAGGGCCGGGGGCCTCGAGGTCCTGCAGAGCCCGGTGCTGTCCCCGCAGCTCTTGGGCTTCCCTGTGGCTGGTGATGGATGCAGAGAGGAGCCTGGTGTAGGGCGGTGCCCGGCCGGCCGGCGCCTCAGCATTGAATACAGAGTAGTGACGGTGTCCAGGGAGAGAGGACCTGCTAACGAAATTATGGTTCTTTTGCTCAAAATAGTAATGGTAATTGAAGACAATGAAGCAGGATGGAAATTTTTATTACCTAACGAGGGATAAAAGCAGAACATATAAAAATATAAGAGCTCGGGGTTTGCAACTGGGTGAAACATTTCTGGGTTTATGGCAAGTGACAGAACATCCACACAGAAGTATATAGTTCCAAATGCTGTTATACTGGGTTTTTTTGCTTGTTTTGTTTTTGTGTGTGTGTGTTTTGGTTTTTGGGGGTTTTTGGTCTTGCCATGTATTCCAGGCTGGCCCTGGACTCATTCTGTAGACCAGGCTGGCCTCAGACTCAGGGTGATCCTCCTGCTTCCTTCTCCTGAATGCTGGGATTATAGGTTTGTGCCACCATGCCCAGCTGTACTGGTCTTACGAGAGAGAGAGAGAAAGACAGAGAGAGGAGGCCTGAGTACGCTTTAAGCCTAGCAGGTGTCTGTCACAGGCCTGGGCCCGCTCGCTGGCCCCACTGCTTCTGGGCTTGGCCAGATCCTTGTGGGTATCTCACTAAGAGGATTATTGTTGGGCTCAGCATTTTTAGAAAGCAGTTTCAGTACTGTGTATAATAATCCTCAAAAATATTCCCATTTTTGCCTGGTAATTCTGCTTCTGAAGCCCCACACGAAACATGGCCAAAGTTTTCTGTGTCCCGTGTCCATTACAGCATTACCGGCTGCTTCAGAAAGTAAGACACAACCTAAGCCCCCAGCTTTAGGGGATGAGGAAGTTGGAGCAGAGAGGAGGAAAGGGATGTAGTTAAGAGCCCAGGGCTGCGTTTGAATCCTGTTCTGCCACGTCCTGGGTCGGAGTTGTCTGTCCTTGGGCTCCTTGTTTAACCTCTTGCCTGCCCCATTTTCCGTCCCCATGGTGGGGATTCATGCAGCACCCAAATACACACCCAGTATGCACGAAAATACACACTCAGTGTGCACCTGACACGCAGCGAGCATCCGGAAAGGTTTCAGCTGCAGTTATTGTTACTATAGCTACTACTGTTGCTATAGTTATAGCTACTGTGACTGCTACCATTTTGTAAAGTAAGTAAGCATTGGCTGGGGATTTAGCTCAGTGGTTTCGCCACCTGCTGCGCAAGCGCAAGGACCCGAGTTCAATCCCCGGTACCAAAAAATAAGTTTGCATTGACACATAAATTTAAAAAATAGCACTGTGTTGGGCCAAGGATGTAGCTCAGTGGTTCCACTGCCTGCCTTGCAATCGCAAGGTCCCGAGTTCCATCCCCAGTGTCAAAAAAAAAAATAGCACTATGTTAATCAGTATGATCTAAATGATGTCCCCCTGCCCAGTCAGGTACTGTGACAGGTGCTTTACCCGTTAGGCCTCTCGGGGACCCTGCCGGAGGGGTCCTGCTTGTGCCCATGGTGTGGCTGGCCGCTGCCTCGTGGGCCATGTGACCAGGGCTCCCCACCTGTGCTGCGGTCTCTCTTTGCTCTTTTCTTTTCTCCTTTCCCTTTTCCTTTCCATTTCCTTTCTTCGCCCTTCTCCCTTCCAGGGATGGAACCCAGGGCCTCACACGTGCTAGGCAAGCACTGCCCACACCCCCAGCCCTCCTCTCACGAGGATTCTGGACACGACAAAGTATTTTCTCCCTTAACCACTGTCACACAAACATAGTGTTCTGCGTGATGACAGCTCCAGAGTCCCCAGTCCAAAACTGAAGAATCTGAAATGCTCCAAAGTCCAGAACCTTGTCAGCACTGACATGAAGCTGTGGGTGGAAAATTCTACATCATGAAACTTTGTTCCATGCACAAAATTGTTAAAAAGTATTGTGTAAGATGTCTTTGAGTCTGTGTGTAAGGTGCACGTGAATCATTGATGCTGGGTGAAGACTTGGATCCCATCCCTACGATATCTCATTGCACACCCGCTAATGTTCCAAAACCTGAAAATATCAGAAGCTCTGGATCCGCACCCAGCACCCGGCACCCTGTCCTCATTTCCTGCCCGAGGCTGGTCACCAACCCCCGCTATTATTGTTCTTCCCATCCACAGAGGCATTTTTATTTAGCCAGGATTATCTGAAGTGACAAGTTACTACTTTCCGGATAAAATGCTGTAATTTTTACGATTTCTCATTTCTACAATTTAGATTAAACATTACTTAATATATGTGGTTTTGAAAAAGCAAGCAAAACTTCTCCCTGGAGTGTTTCCTATTAAGAAAGTGTCTCCAAATAATCCTCATTACAGAGCAGTTCATTGTTTGTTTTCCAAGTAACTGTGGAACTAGAGATATGCACAAGAGTAAATGAGAGTAAAAAGATCTTTAAAGATATGAGGGGATAATCACTCGCGAGATAAGAGAGAGCACCTGAATGAGGTCTTTGTCTCTTCCTTCCTCTGGTGACAGTGTCTAGGACACCGCATTCCTCCACTGGCTGGCCAGTGGTCACCGGGATCTTGGGCACACTGGGGCTGGTCGCACCGCTGTCCCTGGGAGTCGCCCTCCTCCAGGCCCTCACCTTGGGGGACACACAATCAGGCAGCTTGGTTCACGAGGCAGAGACATCGAAGTCTGCTGTCTTGGCAGCAGAGGGCCAAGCAGACACTGCCTGGCAACTGTCTCTAGTGTCCCACAGGAGCTGGGCTCGAGGGCACCTTGTGACCCCCCTGTCCCCAGCCTCCTCCACCACAGTCCCCTCTGCGCCTGTCCAACTCTGCCGTGGGGAAGATCTTGGTGTCTAGGTCCTGTCCCCTCCTGTGCTCTTCTCCTCCTGCTGTCCCTGGGGTGGCACCTTGTTCATCCCTATGGCTTCAGCTGCGCTCTAAACCCCTGCCAGGCCCAGCAGCACAAACCCAGCAGCTCCCAGGTGTCCACCATTGGACTCAATGCTGGTTTTTAGTTATAATTTGCACACTGCAACACACAGGCCTAGTATCCTGACAGGCGCACCGTCTCCGTGGCTAACACTGTTACACTGCGTCCCCTCAGAATCTCATGTCCACTCCCGGGGTCGCACTCATTTTACACGTGAGGGGACAGGCTGGGAGCACAGAGACTCGCAGAGCCAAGGAGTCCGCCTCAGGATTTGGGCGCAGTTCCATCAGGGTTTTGGAGTCACCAGGCCCGTCTGTCTGTCAGCACCTCCAGGCTCGGCTTCCTGTTTCAGGCTCGTCATAGACTTGCTGTCCCCACTTGGTGACAAGAAAGCCTGTTCAGCTCCAGCTCCACAGGGAGAGGCCTACAATCCTGTGCTTGTGTCTGACCTCTTCATTTGCCCCTAATCCTCTCAGCCAGTGTGGGAAAGTCTGCTGTCCACGAACCACGACAGCTCAGCCCCACACTGTGGTGGCTGAGAACGAGGGTCGCGTGAGGAGAGCTTCTGTTTGTTCTAAACAGATGGTTCCACTTGTCAGACTCCATGTTTGGCCTTAAATCCAGAAGGCAGCATATAAACTTAGGGAATACTCAGGGAGAGAAGGCACCTTCCCAAACAACATATTGCCAGGACAAAAGGCAGTTGGCAGCAAGACTACAGTAATTTCTTTTTTACTAAATGTTGTAGAATTTATAAGGAAGAGTAGTCAAGGAGAAAGAGAATGATTTCACTGTGGATTATAAAAAGGACGTTAAGGGCTGGGGATTTAGCTCAGTGGTTCTGTTGCCTGCCTCACAAGCACAAGGACCCGAGTTCAATCCCAGGTAGCAAAAAAAAGGACATTAAGTCCTACACAGGCAATTCTTATTGTACATGTCCTCTTCCACCGCACTAATAGTGCTGGGGTTAGATGAGACCACCCCCTTGAAAGGCGACTGCTGCCCCTCATGCCGCAGTATTCATGGTTTCTCTGCCTTGCAGGGCATGGAAGACATCCTGCGCTGCTTCATCAAAGAAGGCAATGCCGAAATGATCCGTCAGATAGAATTCATCGTCAAGCAGCTCAATTCCGGTGAGTGTTGCGGTGACTCAGTGGTCGCCACATGCATAACTCACGCGCGTCAGAGAGCCACGGGCTTCCTCAGTGGGCCTGTGACACTTGGTGGAGAAGTGGGGGCCCACACAGACTCACAAGCCAGAGTTCAGCCAGGTCCTCAAGGCCAGACTGTCCAAAGATTAACCATCTCCTTATTGTCCTGTAGACACAAAGTCAATAAAAAGGAGTTAAAAGCAATTTCAGAAGCATTTCCTTAACCTTGTAACTTCTCTTTACGGGCCCTTCCCCAAACCCTCCTAAGTCCTGCCCTTCTCAGTGACTTCCCCGGCCCTGGGCTCAGCTCCTGTGGCAGATGCCAACCTTTCTAGCACCACCAGAGAGAAAGTCCCTGTCCTCTTCCCTCGTGCATTCACTCCAGAAGCGTGTGTCCTTGTCAACTGTCCTTTCTGTCCCTGTTCCTCCATCACCATGACAACACAGGCCCATCCTAAGCTCGGGGGCAGGCCAGGGTGGCCTGGGCTGGGGGGCTGCTGGGGAAGCGGCCGGCACAGAGGCCTCCAGTGCGGCCAGCGTCCGGGGCCAAGGCTGTCTGTCTGTCACCTGTGTCTCTGCACCTGGGAGACTCCAGAAGCTCACAGCTGGCCTGTCTTCCGCTCCCACAGCCCGGCAGCCGCCTGGGCAGGTGCGGCGGTCCTGAGAGCTGTGCCCACACCCGCTAGATCAGGGCCCCTGGGGGTGGGGGGCTGAGGCCCCCCCACGCTGGAGCAGTGCTGCCGGGGTGGGGAGAGAATGAGGTCTGGGGCCTCCTGACTAAGAGGGTGGCTAGGCTGAAGGGCTGGAGCTTTGAAATCATTGCTCCTTTTCAGCCCGTTTCCATTTGAACCCGCTTCCCTTCAGTTCTCACAGTGCAGGAATAATTCATCCCAATCTCAGGTGGGCAAAGAGTAGAACTTTATTTTCTTCAGTGACTTTGGCTCTAACCCTGCATCCCCATCTGCAATAGAAACATAAAGTGAAGCCAGACCTGGCCTCAGTCCTGGCCCAGGCTGCCCCTTATTTGGTGGCTGCAGCCGAGGGGTGCTGAGCTCTCCCCTGGGTGGGCAGAGAGGCCGCCCTGGCCACATCTGGCCTGGGATCTTCCTCCACGCTGCCGTCTGCGTATCCAGACATCAAGGCCCAGCCGCAGCCGTTTCCTTGCCGGACTCCCTCCCCACTGGTGGCCCAGAGCAGGATCCAGGCCCCATTTGCTCTCTGGCCTGGGAGACGTTTTTCTCTCACTCAAACCTGGCCCCTGCACCAGCATGCCAGAGGGTGACTAGGGAGGAGACAGCTGCCACCTTTGTAAGGGATCCTCTTTGGCAAGACATGGCGCGTGGAGCCGCAGCTATGCAGCCCTGGTGTTCTGGAAGGCCTGCAAACGCCCGCCCGCTCCGTGACTTCCTGCTTACATAAGGGGCTGAGAATATTTGTTTTTTCATCTAAAATTCATAAGTAGTCACACTTTTTTTCCTTTGGGGTTTTTTTTTTGTTTTTTTTTTTTGAGACAGGGTCTTGCTGTGTACTCTAGCCTGGCCTTGAACTCACTGTGTAGCCCAGGATGGCCTTGAACTCATGGAGATCTTCCTGCCTCAGCCTCCCCAGTGCTGGGATTATAGACCTGCACTACCACACCCTGTTAAAGTCCCTAAACTACTCTAAACTACTCTTTACCCATGGGACGGAGGCTGGATCCTGGAAGTGATTGTCCAGGAGCCTTCTCCTTTGAAACAAGATTTAGAAGTCATTGTGCAGTCCATGCATGACCAGGCACACACCCCAGGGCACATGTGTCACCAGGGCCCGGTCCAGGCGGACCTGGGGAGGGGTCCTGGGAGCTTCTGTCCCTTCATCTCCTCACTGGAAACCCGGGGCTGTGTGCGGGTTGTTGCTGCCTCCCTGGTCTAAATCACATGAGGTGGCATCGCCACTGTGTCTTCTGGAGCGTCGTCCACTCTCTGTCCCCCTGCACTGTGGTGAACTTGCAGCCATGGACCGGGTTTCCGTGCATTCAGGCCCAGCATCAGTTCTCCAGCACTGTTTTTCCATTGCAGTTTTCAGCTCCTCAAATACGAAGCTAGAAGTAAATTTTAGGAGCCCAGCCCCACGGGGTGGGAGGACCACGCTGGTGAGTCCTCGGGATGGGCAGAGGGTGCAGCCCACAGTGGCCCAGACCACAGCGCCAGCCTGGGCTCGGGGAACCAACAGAGACCAGCTGGTCACAGACGAGAGGACGCAGGGGCCCGCCGGGTCACCAGGCCCTGCCAGCGTCCAGGGCAGCACCTTGGGGTGAGCACCACTGCCCCACTCAGGACAGCTGGGGCACAGCTGCCCTGGAGGAGGAGCTGGGCCTGCTGCATGCCTCATCCTGGGGACCAGACCCCACTCGCAGCGTGGCTGTCTTGAAAGCCACTTCCTCAAGGTGTCGTGAAGTTGCCCTTTGTGTGTGGCAAGAAGTGAGCTTGTGGAACCTCAGGCAGAGCGCAGAGGGACACAGTGTCTGCTGTCTCTCCCAGGACTGATGCTCTGTGACAGCAGGGAGGCCCGGGGTGGGTAGGAGGCTGGGGACAGATGTCAGCGACCTGCTGGCCTCACAGAGCAGTCGGTGGCCACTTCTGCCTCAGGGTGGGGCAGCAGGGACGTGCATGGCTCCCACTCGTCAAGGTTTGGTTCCCTGGCACATCTGCCTGGCCTCTTCTGCGCTAGTGGAGCCATCTTCAGGAACAGCCTTTGGTGCCTTCTTCCTCCTGCTTCTGTCTGACTTCCTTTCTTCTGAGCCTTTCCTTGCCTTCATGTCTTGACTTCAAAATACAGGTGCTAATACGGAAGGGGCAAGCCAGGGTCAGTGGTGCAGGCCTGCAAACCTAGCAACCCAGGAGGCTGAGGCAGGAGGTTTGCAAGTTTGAGGCCAGCCTGGGCCACTCATGATGAGTCCGTGTCTCAAAATTTAAAAATGGAAAAGGTGGAGGGACTCAAGTAGAGCTCAGGGGTTGGATTCCCTGGATTCGATCCACAGGATAGCAAAAATGGAAAAGGAAGATACAGTGAGGACCTGGGAAGCAGTAGGCCAGGTGCCCTGTCCCCAGGGCCACGTGACCAGGACGGTGGGTGGGAAGGGTCCCTGGACAGTCACCCCTCCCTGGCTCAGTCACCTGACCCTAGGTCATGGGGCTTAGAAGCAGACTTGGTTGGAAGCTCAGCTCCCCGCTTAATGGAGGGAACCACAGGCAATACCCTTGCCCCATCTTCCCGGCAGCCTCGAGGGTGACCAGTGTGTCCTGATGATGAAGCCACGCCTGTGCAGTGCCAAGTTGTAAATATTTTCTTTCTCTCCCCAAATTTCCCTCAAGTTATATGTTGGCTTTTAGTTTTTCCCATGCTACGCTAAATGTATTCTGATAAAAATGGAGAGATTTGTTAAAAATTGCCAAAGGTGATATCACATAGTAGCTGAAGCAGTCGTGGTAGAATAGCTAAGAGGCTGGGTGTGGTGGTGCACAAATGTAATCCTAGCACTTGGGAGGCTGAGGCAGGAAGATGTTCAAAAGTTTGAGACCAGCCTGCAATACATAGTGAGACCTTGTTTCATTAAATAAATAAATAAATAAATAAATAAATAAATAATAACAAGGTTAAGAGGCTGAAGTGGGCATGACCCAGAGTGGCAGTGACTATTCTCACTGTCACTGTGGTATCTCTGCATCTCCGAAGTGCCTGGATTCATTGACCAAGGGTCCCCTGGGTTCACCGTTACTTACTGATCTTTTCTTTGCAGAAGAGCTGCTGGACAGTGTTCTTGAGTCTGACGATGATGAAGATGAAGATGAGGTAAGGCATCGGCTCTGGACGCCACACTTCCCAGGGTGGAGGAGGCCTTGCGCGGTTGGTCAGGGCGGAGGTCTTGCTCCTCTGCGGCATCCTCAGTTCCGTGGCCCGCTCAGGTGCAGCTGGATGGTGGCTCTTTGGCCAGCACCTGGGGTCTCTGTGGCAGCTCCAGTGTCCAGGCACCTGTCATGTTCGAGTGGCCCATCCCGGACCTCTGGGAGGGAAGAGTCGAGAGCTCCCATCCTCCCGGGCTCGGAGGGCTCAGGACATTGTGAGCCCGGGACAAGCGCATCCCATATGGGACAGAAGGGACAGCAGGAGGGTGCGGGGCAGCAGTGACCATGTCTGCAGACCGACCACATCCACGAACAGCAGAGGTGCCTCGTCACCATCCTGAGCTGTGCGATTTATGGACATGGAAAGATAACTGTTATGTGTTGTGAGTCCCATGGTGTAAAAGGGCACAGCCTGTCCACCGCCTGACTCCCTGGTGTGCGGCAATGCTGGGCACTCAGATACTTGGGTCTTGCTTTCATTTTTTTTTTTTTTTTTGGTACTGGGGATGGAACTTGGGTCCTTGTGCTTGCACAGCAGGTGGCAAAACCACTGAGCTAAATCCCCGGATCTTTTTTTAAGATAGAATCTCACTGTGTATCCCAGGCTGGCCTCAAACTTGAGATCCTCCTGCCTCAGCCTCCAAGTACTGGGATCCCAGGCGTGTATCACCATGCTAGGCTCTTTGTGTTCTTTAGATACGAGTTTCCTTAGCTGCGACAAAGCCGCCTCACTGGTGTTGGAGTGAGAAGGCTCAGAGGCCAGTGCTTTGTGCTGTCTCCGAAGTGGTGTGAAGGGCGGCGGCTTGGGCATTGTGGGTCCTCAGGTGACAGAAGTTGCACTGTTTTCCCTGCAGGGAACTAGGAAGAGCAGAAAGGCTCTCCTGCCCATCCTCGTGGGGACACATGCCTTGCTTTCCTTCCACGTAGGGGAGCAGTTAGTCCTCAAGGGACTGTCAGAAGGTCCTGGTGTTTGAGGGAGCAGTCACTCCAAACATGGATGAGGGAAGGTGTATTTTTATTTGAGCTGCAGTCTGTCCATGTAAAAAGTGGGTGAAAATCCAGAGCATTGTAGCACACCCCTGTGATCCTAGCACTCTGGGAGGCTGAGACAGGTGGATTGAAAGGGCAAGCCCAGCCTGGGGAAATTAGCAACTTAGCAAGACCCTGTCTCAAAGTAAAAATTTTAAAAAGGGCTGGGGATGGAGCTCAGTGCAGTCCCGGCTCAGTGCAGCCAGGTTTTGCTTCCTGAGGCATCCGTTGGGCCTTCCTCCACAGGCCTGCACCTGCACGCTGTTTCCTCCCTGGGCAGCAGGTGGCGCCAGCAGTCACCCTGGTAGTGCTCCCAGGCAGCCAACTGAGACAAGTGCAGAGCTTGGGCCCCCGTGGCACCCTGGCCTTTGCCCTCCGGCTGGCAGGCGCACAGGCTGGTGGTATGGTCTGCCTTAGAACAGGGTTAGCAGTGGAAATCAGGAAGGCTTTGGGCCTGACAGGACGCTTGTGTTTCAGCTGCTCTGTTCTGCCACCGTAACAGGACTGTTGAGGAGCCTGTGTTCCCGTAGGACTAGCTGTGGTCACTAAAAATAAGGGTGCCAAACAACTCACGTGTCGTTAAATCTTTCTGCAAATATTTAAAACCATGAAAATCATTCAGGAGGCTGAGGCAGGAGGATCGCTGCAAATTCAAAGCCAACCTGGGCTACATAGTGAGTTCAAGCACAGCCGGAACTACATAGTGAGACCCTGTCTCGAAAAAATCCGTGAGAACCATTGTCAGCTCAAGGCCATATTAAAGTAGGCATGTGTCCCCGAAGGCCATGGCCAGCCACCCCTGGAGGGAACCCGGGCCGGACTGCAGCACTTTTCTGAGTTAGGGTTGGAGTGAGTGATTTCATTATTTGGCTCTGATAACTTTTCCTCATTGTGGCCAAAAGTTCCTCGCACTTCTACTCTTCCCCTTTACCTGCCTTTACCTCCCTTTGGGGATTTTCAGTTTGCTTTGGGTTTTCTTTTTGCTACTAATGCTTTTGTTTCTGCCTTGTAAGGGAAAATTCACTTGGCCCAGCGGTTGTGACTAATGGCAGGAATTAGGTGCCTGGGAATTTCCCTTTGGAAGCAACTGGAGTCCGCTGGACACTGACAAGACAGCAAGGTCTTCATTTAGTTCCCCAGCTTTTTCTTTCAAAAGGCTGATGTTTGAAAACATCGGCCGTGATGACTAGGATTTTTGGAAGATTCCTAGAAGAGGGAGGGGAAAAAAGAAAAGTGCAGGTGCTTCAGTGAAGGGAAATTTCTCAGAACCATTCTCTCGGTGGCTCTGCTGTCCCCGTCCGTGTGGCAGCTCTAGGAGACAACAGTTATTGTCAGGGGCGTGGAGTCAGCCTCACCTGTTAGCAGTGCAAAATGTTTTTTAACTTAATATTTAGATCCGACACAAAGATAATGAAATCACTGTTGTGAGCTAGCTGCTTTGGTGACATGGTGACACTGCCCATGGGTGGCAGGAGCCAGGATAAATGTCCGCACTTCCGACACCACCATAATCTCCCCGCCCTATTTTTTCTCTTAATTTCTAAGAGTCCCGACTTAATCAAAAGTGCAAAAACTCAGTTAAGCCTGCAAACACACCAACCTCTATACTAACACTGAAAAAGCATAGCACTAGAAACATTCATCCTGATTTGTAGCCCTCATACCTGAAGGCTTGAAGGAAATCAGACAGCAACCAGAGCAGTATTGAAAAACAAAACACTTGGGCCAGAGATTTGGCTTGGTGGTTTCACTGCCTGCTGAACAAGTGCAAGGATCCAAGTTCGATCCCCGGTACCAAAAAAAAAAAAAAAGAAAAACAAAACACTTAAACATGAGGGTGGGAGCTGCAGAGGCGCAGTCTGGGTGCTGCAGCAGAGGGTGGGCAGCTCCACCCCGAGTGTGAATGTCAGAGTGGGGGCAGCAGCCCCAAGAGGCCCAGGGTGCAGGTTCCTCAAGCCAGGGAAGCACAAGCCAGATACTGAGGTGGCACAAGGGTTACCTGCTGTGCATTTTTGTGCATTCACGGGGAAGGCCACGCTGGAGTGAAGTGCAAAAGTGGCGTTCACAGGACCACTCTTCCCATTCCTGGGAGAGACCTTAGGCACTCAGGAGGCTGAGGCAGGAGGATCACCAGGAGTGCAAGGCCAGCCTGAAGTGCATAGCGAGAACCTGTCTCAAAAAAAGATGGAAGAGGGAGGAGGCTTCCGGGCCACCGTACCACCACCACCACCACCACCCCCAGCACAGAGGAGGTGAGCCGTTCCCAGCACCTAGGAGGAGGCTTCCGGGCTGCCATACCCCCACCCCCAGTGCAGAGGAGTTGAGCTGCATGGGTGCCAGCAGCACCCACCCCTCGAAATGAGAAGACACATAAACAAGTCTCAAAACCAGACTTCCGGATCACCTACAGCAACCCCAAAGGGAAACAAGATGGAACAATTTGCTACTCAACCACCTGGACTCCCTGAACTGGCAACAAAAGAGGATTTGGAAAAAATACAATCAGAAATAATTTCTCAGATAACAGTAGAGATTGTCCCCATAGTGCAAGACATGATTAATAAATCTAGAGCGGACACAGATAAAAAATAGAGGAGCTGAGGAACGTGATGGAATCCCAACATAGGAAACAAATGGAACCCATAAAACAGATGCAAACAAATTTAGGATCTTCTAAAATTTTAAATTAATCACAAAATAGAAATCATATAGTAAAAAGCATAGAAGGTATCTTTAATTTGGTTATCTCTGTAATTTTTTTTAATTGCTAACTCTTGACACTGAAAACCTCTAGACTTAGTGCCTTTCTGTTATAGTTGATTGATTCATCAAGTCATCAATAAGAATTGCTGGCTGTTGGTGTCATCTATACTATAAAAAGGATAAATGACAGGGCACAGAGTTTGTCACCTCTGATATAAACTTAGATTTGTTTTGTAGCAATCAGGAGTCAAGTCCGGCTCAGGAAAATACTGTGTTTAATATAAAGAACTGATTGGTTGCTACCTCTGCTTTGTCTTGACAGCCAATTAAAGAGGGGGTTGGGTGGGCTGGGCATTTAGCTCAGTGGTTTCACCACCTGCTGCACAAACGCAAGGACCTGAGTTTGATCTCCGGTACCGAAAAAAAAAAGCTGTATTTATAACTTTTGATTAGTGAACTAGAGAAGGAAGCCTAATACTGGCTTGTACCAAATTCAATGACCTTCACATCTACATTAGTGGCTGCTCTAGGACAAGAGTGGATCTTTTGTAAAAGTTGACTGTGTGTGTTATAGATGTTGCAAAAAAAAAAAACAACTGGAAAGTATGGTTTAAAAAACAAAAGATGGAAGAGAGCTCAGATGTGGCTGGGAGGGCTGCCGTGCAGGGCCAGAGGTGGGACCATTGAGGCAGGGGGAGGGGGCACCAGGAGGACAGGGCTTTTCATTCTTTTCTGTGTTGCTTCTCATGCTAGCTTGGCTCAGGCGGCCTCAGGGAAGTAAAGTCATCATCAAATAAGCTTGGAGATACACATGGGGAGGCGTGGCCACAGCTGCCCTTTAAGGCTCAAGTGCATTTCACCCCGCACCTCGAGGAGTCAACACATGCAGTGTGTCACCCGGGGCCCAGGCAAGCGACAGACTCAGGAGCCTGGGTCCAGTGTCTCTGCCTTGGGCACGCAGGTTTCCTTGTCCCATGGGAAGGTGAGGTCCCCTGTGTCTGGCCTCCCAAGTGGCTGTAAGCATCGAGGAAAGGCCTTCCTGCTCTCGTCCAGAAGACTGGTTTTAAGACAAACATTCCCCCTTCTTAACAAAATAGGTTTCAGTGCCAGCTGAGGTCAGTGGTGGACAAGGACTTGCCGGGCCCATGTAGGTGACAGTCACGTGATCCGCAGTTTCCTTCTGTTCAAACTTCCCTAATCCAAGTGTTATTCATT